TGTGACTTGGCTAGATATTGTCACATTCTCCTCCATAGAAGCTGTACCCTTTGTGTCCCTCAGCAGGGCATGACAGGGCCTGTTAATGTACAGCCTCACCAGATTGATTTTTGTCAATCTGATAAGCAAGAAATGACATGTCATGGTCCTTTTTATTTCATATTATGAGCAAGGTTGAGTATTTTATTTTTACATGTTTAAAAGCCACTTACAGGGCTGGTGGAATGGCTCAAATGGTAGAATGACTGCCTGGCATTCATGAGCATGAGGCACAGAATTTAAACCCCAATACCACAAAACAAAATAAAAGCCACTTGTGGGACTGGAGGTGTAGTTCAAGTGGCAGAGTGTTTGCCTAGCATGCTCAAAGCCCTGGGTTCAATCCCCAATACTGAAAAAAGAAAAGACAAATTATAGAATCCTCTCGTCTTTATGAGTCTCTTATTTTTAGAAGATATGTATTATAGGTATTAACCGCTGGAAGTTGCAAATACATTTTCCTAGCTTATAATTTGTTTTTACCTTGCTATATAATTTTTTTTTGGGTGGTCGTACTGGGGTTTGAACTCAGAACTGCATACTCACTAGCAGACACTCTACTTCTTGAGCCACTCTGCCAGAATTTTAAAAAAATTTTTTGTGGTACTGGAGTTTGAACTCAGGGCCTGCACATTGAGCCTCTCCACCAGCTTTTTTTTGTGTGTGTGTGAAGGTTTTTTTTTTTTTTTGTATATGGTCTCATGAACTGTTTGCCCAGGCTGGCTTTGAACTGTGATCCTCCTGATCTCTGCCTCCTGAGTAGCTAGGATTACAGGCGTGAGCCACCGGCGCCCAGCCAGCAAAATTTTTTTAGTAATCAAATTTGTCAGTCTTTTCCTTGCCATATATGGCTTTTCAATCAGGGAGGAAGGTTCTTCTCACTTCTGGTTACATAAGAACTGCTCCTTCCCATGTTCCTCTCCTGGTGACTCCAGCATCACTTGCTGCTGAGAAGTCCATTTGTCCCAGTTCATGTATGACACACCCTTATAAATTTTCATATGCAGTTGGGCCTGCTTCTGGATTTTTAGTTCTGTTTTCTTAATGTCTGTCCTGTATTTGTTCTTCTCATTCCCAACCCACACTATTCATTTTTGGTTTTTTGCGCAGTGCTGGGGATTGAACCAAGGGCATCACACATGCCAGGGAAGTGCTGTACTACTGAGCTACACCTCAGTCCCCAAACTGTCCTTTTTCAAGATTTTCCTGGTTGTTCTGGCTTTTTCCAAGTGAGATTTATAATGACCAAGACAAATGTCCATGGAATAACCTTAAGGGAAACAGAGCCACACACTATTGTATATATAAATAGACGTTTTCAGCTGAGCACGTAGCTTAGTGGTAGAACACATGCCTAGCATGTGTGAGGCCCTGAGTTTGTTCTCAAGCACCAAAAGTGGGGGGCGGGGGGAGGGATGGTGGAACATGCCTGTGATCCCAACTACATGGGAGGTAGAAGGATCTCTGTCCAAGGCCTACCTGAGAAAAATCACAAGACTCTATCTGAAAAACTAAAAGCAAAAAGACTGGGGCTATGTGGCTCAAGTGATAGAGTACCTACCTGCCTAGCAAATGCGAGGCCCGGAGTTCAAACTCCAGTATTGTTAAAAAAAAAAAAAAAAAAAGACTTTTTTCCTTATAGAAAAGTTTTGGAAGGGAAAACACCAAAATGCTTGCTGTGTGGTCATGTCTCCATAGTATAGCTGAAGGTAGCATTAATCTTGTTACTGGTGCAAACCTTCATAGAAAAAACTCTCTAACCATCACAAGGTTGTGTTCCTCCTTTGTTCTCACCTCCCTGAATCACTGGGGAGATCTTGTCACCCCTTTAGGCCCTCAAGGGCTGGTGGAGTGACTCAAGTGGTACAGTGCCTGTTTAGGAAGCTTGAGGCTCTGAGTTCAAACCCCCATACTAAAGAGTGGCAAACACAGACCGGCTCAGCATTAGAGCAATCACCTTGCATGCATGAGGCCCTGGGTTCAATCCCCAGCCTCGGGGGACAGGGGCAGGGAGTGACAGAGCCATTCCAGGCCCTTCTTAGTGAGGAAGGGAGCACACTTTACAGGTGGAGCTTGAAGCTATGGCTAATGCCCAGTGCAGGCACAGAGGGAATGAGGCTCAAGTCCATCTAATTCTCCCTACCCCCACTCCCAAATTATCCTGCTCTTTCTACCCCATGTAGGGGTACTTCTCTCTCAGGGAGCAGGTTCATAAGAGATAAGGCGCACAGTCTAGGTTCATATTTTGGCCTAGCACTGTCCATTAGAACTTTCTGTGATGGGAGAAATGTGCTACCTCTGTGCTGTTTAACAGTAGTTACTACTTACTACATGTGACTAACCAAGCACTTGCAATGTGACAGTTTGGTGAAACTAGGAACTGAGTCTTAAATTCTATTTACTTTTAATGTGAATAGTTACATGGGGCTTAAGGCTACTCTGCTGTATGGTGCAGCTTTGGCCAATTCCCAGCCCATGCTTCCCCTTCTCCCCAGAACCCAAGGGAAGATGCTGCAGGGCACTGCATGTGGGCTGAGAGGCCAGGCAAAGCAACAGACCTGGAAGGAAGCTGAGAGAGAGCGAGGGTAGCTGGGCCAGGGCCTGCTCACAGAACACCTATGGGAGTTCTATGGGAGGGGACCAGCCTGCAGCAGCCCCACCCCCAGCGCAGTGGTCATCACAATAGCATCCAGGCCTCACAGAACACCTATGGGAGTTCTATGGGAGGGGACCAGCCTGCAGCAGCCCCACCCCCAGCGCAGTGGTCATCACAATAGCATCCAGGCCAGTCACAATGCCACTGGCGGTGGGAGGCTGAGGGGCGGTTTCCTCCAGGGGCAGGTCTCTTTGTCTGCAGACCTACTTACAGCAACTCCAGCGTCAGAGGACCCCGTTTCCTGGGGAATGGAAAGGCACCCAGCAGTTGAGTGGCCTCAAGCTGGAGACCTCTAAGAGGAAGCAGGACAGGTGTGGGGCTCGAGGAGCCCACTCAGCCCCAGGACCTAGGGGCTGCAGGGCCCAGTTGCCCAACTGCAGGGAGCAGGGATTTTCTGTGAGCCCTGAGCACCTGCTGGTCTTCTTCTTGGCGATTTGGTTCTTCTACTTCTTCTATTTTCAGGACTAATTCTGACAGAGACTCCCTTCCACCTGCTCAGGAGCTGAATGTTGTCAACTGGAGGCGATGGCAGCTGGCACGGCCCAGCCCCTGCAACCGAAAGCAGGGAGTGGTCAGCAACTGAAGGTCTGGCCCCACAGGACCACTGGCCAAGCTTCACCTGTGTACCTGAGGAATGGAAATTTGGAGACTGGAGTGGCCTGGGCCCCCTCACCTCACCAAGCTGCCTCACCTGCTCTTAGAGGGCCCCAAAAAGGCTTTGTGCTCCATGCCTTGTGCCTTTGTCAAGTAAATGACACCAGAAGGGAAAGAGACCAGTCCTGTAGACCCCATGGTCAGAGAAGAGGCAGAGCATCTCTGGAGGGCAGCAGAGACACAGTGAGGTTGTGGATTCCAAGTCTTCTCAATCAGTAGAGTTGAACTGTGTGTTTTTACTGGGAAATTTTGTGCCTGCCCCGGGCTTTGGTGAGAAATAAACTGTCATAGGGCCAGCTGGAAATGCGAGATATTTTATTTCCATTTTCTGGGGGAGAGAAATAGAGGATGGTTGTGCTCCATTCTGTGTGGTATGTGTTTCTGCCAAGGGGAAATAATGCTTTCTTTGGGGGAGTCTTTAGGATAAGAATGGTTGCATCTCCAAGGATGTGGGGTGGCTCCACTTGAATCCAGGGCAGATCCTGCCCGCCCCAAAGGCTCCCATGCCTGGTTTTCCAGAGCTGCCGGGACAGCAGGAGCGTTAGGACATGCAGCTCACCAGGACCCTCAGGAGGTGTGGGCAGCGCCTCTAGCACATCTGCCAGAGGGGAAGTGACTCTGGACACTGATGAGACATTGACTCCACACTAGCGGCTCTCAGTCATTGTCACTGAGAACATGGAGCTGCTGGTAAGGAAGCAGGCTGTTCTTCTGAGATCACAACAGGTGGGGGACCAGACCTGCCCCCAAGCTAGCACATGGGAGAAGGCAGACGGCGAGGGAGGGAGAAACAGATATTCAGAACTGAAGGGTAAAGGGCAGGCAGTAGCCTTGAAGCCAGGGCATGCTGCGCTCGCAGACCCTGAGGTGTCATGTGAGAGCTGTGGCAAGGTAAACACCAGTGGGACATGGAGAGAAGTAGGGGACCACCTCTGCAGCCACTTCTGTGGACTAGTTCCCTGGGAACTCTCAAAACTGCACGTTCTCTAAGAAAGACTGCAGGTCTTTGAATTCTGGGCTCTGGACTGGAGTTCTAGGCAGCCTTGAGAATGAGGACCTGCAGCCCATGGCCAGTCCATAGGGCCTGTAACTGACCTCATAGACAAAGAAGAGCTCCTTCCCCACGGTGCTCAGAAGAGACCAGGGAGGCTGGGCACCAGTGGCTCATGCCTGTAATCCTACCTTCTCAGAGCCAGAGATCAGGAGGATCACAGTTCGAAGCCACAAAAAAAAAAAAAAAAAAAAAAAAGGGGGGGCTGATTGAGTGGCTCAAGGTGTAGGCCCCAAGTTCAAACCCCAGTATTGCCAAAAAAAGAAGTGACCGGGGCGAGGGTGTGTATTGTTCCATTGACTTTCTTTTAGTGACTAGAATTTGTTTGACATGGTAGTGTTGTAGGAATACTTATTTCCCCTTGGGACTCTAAAGTAAATGTTCAATGGAAAAAATAAATGCAGTCTATAAACATATTTTTCCTGAAACGGGCCTTGTACAGAACAGTGTCTCCCCCTCAAGAGAGCAGCTCCAGGAGCAGCTGAGTCCATGCTGGCACCAGGCCACTTACCCTCCCCTCTAGCAAACCCATGATCCTGGGGCCTTCCACACTGGACAGATCTGAAACTCCAGCATTTATCCTTTCAGGCTCTTGGCATAAATCACAGCCTGGCAAGTTGCAGTGACTGCTCATGGCTGCCCTGTGACGGTTCCACTTGTGTGGATGCAGGTGGGGGACAGAAATATGACACACAGGCACTCTGCCAGGAGGAAGTCCACAGCAGACATCAACCATCACTTTATTAAGGCTTTGAGTGTCTGCCAGTTGGGAAATGGGAAGAGGCTGAGTCATGTATTCCACAACCCCCACCATGGCCCACTTCTATGTGACCCTGAGACAGAGGCTCTCTGTGAGATACCAAGGCCATCATCCATTATGCTCCACTTACAAGGCCCTGCTGGAAGGGGTGTGTACAGACAACACGGAGGCCTCAGCAGATGCTGGATGCAGGGGACCTGGGCTCTGACAGAGGAGTGGCAGGGAGGCCCAGGAGGGCAAAGACTTCTCCCCTAGCCCTCCCAGTCCAGCTTATGGCTTTGTTATCCTATTGCCACATGAGCAGGAGTGGGGTGTCCCTCACTCAGTTCCTGTGCTACACTGTGAGGTGCTAAAGCCCCAGAAAGAACAAGTAGCCCTATGCCTGCCACTGGCCAGGCCATAGGGGAGCTGGACCCTGCTTCTGCTCCCCTTTGGCTCCTCCCAGTGATGGGGCTTCTTGAGTTGAGGCTGTCACTCAGAAGTGGACCCGAAGCACATCCTGGCTGGCAAATGGCTGCTGGCAGGCTGTGCATGTCATGGACAGGGAACGCTGCCTCTCACCCAGGCAGGGCCTGCAGAGGAGGTGGCCACAGGGCAGCTGGTACACAGGCTCCTTTTTGAAGTAGGGAGAAAATGCTCTTTTGCAGGAGGCGCACTCAGGGCCGGAGTTGTTCCCGGGCTGCTCTGGTGAATCAGGAGAAGAATGGCCAGGTTAGAAAGCTGCTCTTCAGTCCAGGCTCTCTGGAAGCTGCAGAGGCCTGGGTTCTTCCCTGAGCCCACCCAGGTGCTCTGGCAGGAGAGGTGAAGGGAGCAGGGAACATGATGGGTTTCTTTTCTGCTACTTGTGACCAAGTCTCAGTGTTCCCATGACTGCTGGAGAACAGCTGGCTTCTGAGGGTAGCCAGGAAGCAGCACTGGGCCTTCCCCAGTCTCCCAGCAAGGTGTACTTTCCCTGCCAAAGCCAGAGCAAGGCACAGCTCAGTCTGATACCACAAACTGCAAGAAAGGTGAGATGGGACCAGAGTCCTGGGAAGGCCAGGGCAGAGGGAGGTCACCGGGGGGCAGGCCAAGGTCTGTCTACAGCTCCCTCCCAGCCTCTCAGTCCCCTTTCTGTGCTCCCTGACCTCTTGGGCAGGTTCTCCATTAGACTCTCACAGGACCTTCTAAATAAGGGCAGCTCCCACCTCTCCAGGCTGCACCTGTGACACTTCCTTCCCTGTGGCCCTTGCCTAAGGAAGTGCTCTTTCTCCCCAGCTGGGGGAGTCCAGTTCTCTGTTCCTAGCCACAGTCCTCTTGGGGACCCCTAAAGGCACCTGAAGTCAATCTGCATTGGAAGCCCCTCTCTTCCATCCACTTCTGTCACCATAATCCAGGCTACTCGCCTCTTAGTCCCTGGCTTACTCTCCTGCAGTTTTGTCCTGGGCATATACCCTTGAAGCTGTCCCGCTGATGCACCAACACAACCTGATCCCACACCTCTGCTTCACACATCCTGGGTGACCCATCATCTTTTGGTGCAGTCAAGAAGTCCTTACATGGCCTGCTGTTGGACTCCTGACACTGTGCTTGCGGTTCCCTCAGTCTAGAATATCCTCATCATTCTGAGATGTGGGTTAGACTACATGCCTTCTGGGCATGCTAGAGAGGCAGAATGCCCCTCTCCTGTGTGTTTGGAATCCTTTTCATTACTACTGGGTCACATGCCTGTGTCCTCCTCCAGCTTTGGAAGCCCTTCAAGGGTAAGGACCCCACCTATGCTTCTCCTCTGTCCATCCTCAGAGCCACAGCCGAGCTCAGTCCGTATGTGATAAAAGGAAACAGCTACCAAGAAACGTAATTTGGCTCCTTGAAATGTGATCTAAAGAGCTCTGCCCTGCATCCCTGATGTGCATCCAAGAAAGAGGGGCCTGGCCTTGTAGGTTCCCTTGGGTCAAATATGAAGCAACTTAAAAGCATGGGATGTCTCAAACACATATGGGCTAAGAATCACTTAATGAGTGCAGAAATTCCTTTCCTTACTGGTGACCTAAAATGAAGGGAGGAAGGAGGGAGAAAGTAGAAAGGGAGGAGGGAATGAAGGAGGAAAGGAAGCAGAAAAACAGAGACACTGATTGCTATTTACTGATGTCCCTTCCAGCCAGGCTTTGTGCTAGGTGCTTCTGAGATCTGTCTGACCCGTAGGTGCACTGTGAGAATTTTTTCTATTAGTCTTAAAAACTACAACCAGCACCACACCACACCATGTTAGCATAAATGGCCTCAATTCTCTTTAGCACCAACCAGAAGTCCCATTAGAGTTTCACAGAGTTAGGCACCAGTGGCTCACAACTGTAATTCTAGCTACTTGGGAGGCTACTTGAGAAGATCATGGTTCAAGGCCAGCCTTGGCAAACAGTTTGTGAGACTCTTATCTCCAAAATGACCAGAGCAAAATGGGCTGGAGGTGTGTTTCAAGTAGTGGAGTGTTTGCAAGTGCAAAGTCCTGCATTTGAACCCCAGTCCTGACCAAAAAAAACGTGTGTGTGTGTGAGTCTCAGAGTCTAGAGTTCCAGGGCAATTTCAGAGACAGAAAACAAAGGTCATTAAAGGAAAAAGACCTGGTGGAGTGGCTCAAGAGGTAAGAGCACCTGGCTAGCAAGTATGAGGCCCTGAGTTCAAACCCCAGTACTGCAAAAAAGTAAAATAAAGGAAAAAGAAAAGACACAGGGCGTGACCAGTGAGCAATGGTATAGCTTCAGATGAGACAAAGAGGGGAATGGGGGCTATAGCATGCAGGACCTTGGAGGCAACAGGCGGTTAGTTTTTGAGTGCTGGTGGCTCACGCTTATAATTCTAGCTACTCAGGAGGCAGAGATCAGGAGGATCAAGGTTTGAGGGCAGCCTGGGCAAACAGTTATGAGACCCTATCTCAAAAATACCTAACACAAAAAAGGACTGGCAGAGTGGCTCAAGTGGTAGAGTACCTGCCTAGCAAGTGTGAGGCCATGAGTTCAAACCCCAGTACTGACAAAGACAGTACTCAATCACATGTTATTGGAGGATTTTAAGAAGTTGAGCACGATGATCCTTTTTACATTCTAAGAAGTTCCCTCTGAGGCCTGTGAGCATGATCGGGGCAATAAGCAAGACTGGCTGTGGGAGGCCAGCAGAGGCTACTGCAGGGCTAAGGAAGAGGCAACAGGAGCTGGTGCGAGGGTGGCAGCCCAGGGAAGCACAGTAGAGAGACTACTCTTGAGTTGTACTGTGGAAAAGTTCCAAGGAGGGGTAGGAGCTACAGGGGCAGTACTACACATAGTACTACACAAGTACTACAGGGGCAGTACTCTCCTCACTTGGCTGGCAGAGTACAGACAGAAAAGCCCAGGGCCAGAGTCTGGTAAAGAGGGAAGCTGGCAATGGAAACTGAAGAGAGACCACTGAAGATAGGAAAAAAAGCCAAGAGACAAGGTGACACAAGAGAAGAGTTGGTCAACCACATCACAGAATACTGGGAGGGCAAGCAGTCACTGGATTTGAGAACAAGGATATCACTGAAAACTTTGACAGGCAGGTTCTTGGGAATGGTTAGGGCAGAAACAGTGTGGGCAGAAGTGAGACAGGGAGATGGCCTAGAATCCAGACAATAATAGAAGGGACAGTCTTTTTATCAGCAGGAGGAGTCAAGTATCTGCTGTTTCATCTCATAAAAATGCCCCAGCATTCTAGTTATTTTCTATTATTTTCCGTCTGAACAGATTCTACCATATAACGCAGACCTAGATTCATCTTAGGCAAAAATTGGCCAAGACACCACTGCTCTTTTCTAAGACAGTGACGGAAATATTAATAGGAAGGGATGAAGATGACATCCTAAACCCCAAACCTCATGTACATAAAGTTCCTCAGATGGGAGACAGACTAGACTAGAAAAATAGGGCAGAGTGACTAAAGTGGTAGAGCCTGCCTAGCAAGCATGAGGCCCTGACTTCAAACCCCAGTACTGCAAAAAAAAGAAAAGAAAAGAAAAAGAAACAAAAAAGGTTTGGTGGCATAGCTGCTCAGAGGTAGAGATAGGAGGAATGGTTTAAGGTCTGCCTGGGTAAAAAGCCCAAGACCCTATCTCAAAAACAAACTAAAAGCAAAGGACTGGGGAGCCTGGCTCAAGTTGCAAAGGACTTGCCTAGCAAGGTCAAAGACCTGAGTTCAAACTCCAATACTGCAAATTTAAAAAGAAGATGATGAAGAAGAAGAAACAAAATTCCTCAGGAGAGAATAATGAACATTAGATTTCATGAAAAATATAGCAGAGAGTAGCCAGGCCTGAGTCCATAGAATGAGAAGGCCAACTGTGAAGATTCACCTTCCAAACAGCCTTCACCTGCCCTGGATGAGAGCACAGGTTGCAATGAAGATGAAGCTGGCTGTGCAGGCCCACAGAGCCTAAAGGACCAGGCCCAGCGTCCTGCACCGACAGAAAAATCACCCATTTTAAGGTTCTGGCAGATGGTGGGCCCAAGTTACCCAAGCAGGCGCTTGGCCTTCCAGAAGTGCTGCTGCATCTTGTGCCCAGGTGCTGGAGCTGTCCCTTGGTTAGTCGGGCCGTGAAGGAGGGCATAGAGCCAAGGGTGGATGTCAAGGCAATTTCCAAGCTTTGCGACAGCTTCTGCTCATGAGATACTGGACCTGTTGAGAGATGTGCAGACCACAACATCCAGAGAGGTTCAGCAAGAGAGAAGTGTAAGTCCTTTGAGGACTACAGAATAGCCCTCCAACTTCGAACACACATAAACGTAAAGAAACTCTTTCTTACTGCCTCCCAGGAGTGTGACAACAGAACACTGGGAAGCACAACCCTGGTACTCCAACCCTCCAGTTTCAAGCCCCTGAGCTTTTTCTAGCTTCCTCTTCCTGGACAAAGTGCTGGACAGACAGGGGCCACCTTGTGGCTCTACTACAGAACTGCACCTGCTTTTCTTTGTTCCTTTTTTTTTTTTTTTTAATGGGGATGGAACCCAGGGCCTTGCCACTCTAGTCAAGTGCTCTACAATTAAGCTACATCCCCAACCCCTATACCTGCTTTTTCTAAAGGCCTCCCTTCTGGCCAAGGAAATGATGGAGCAAGCAATCCCGCTCTGTACCCCTGCCCCTGTTTCTATCTTCCCTCCCCAGCAGTCTTCTCTTTCCCCAATTCCTCCTTTCTGGGTCCCTATTCCTGCAGGGTTGCTTGTCTGTACTCACTAGGTGTTTGCCCTTTCTCTCTGGTAAGTAGAGCAGAGTGGCCTAACCTTAGTTACTCACTCTGACCAGGTCACCACCATCTAGGTTAAGGGGTCAACAGAAAACCAAGTCATGGGATGAGGGCGGAGGCAAAACCAGGTTAGGGGGACATCTGCCCAAGAAAGGTCCCAAGGACCTACCTGGTGGTAGAATTTGCAAGAATGCCCTAAAGAGGGGAGTAAAGTATTTTATCTCTAATTTGCAGTACATAGGACATCAATTTAGGGCCTTGAAGAAGCTCTGGGCAATGTGACTACCCTGGACTACCAAGTCTGTCAAGGCCAACACCACTGAGATCTCCACATAAGACATGGGGTACAAGAAATTTTCTCTGCATCGCATTCCACTGTACCTTAGGTGCTCCCAGGAGTTTCTAGGGGTCATGTAACTAAAATTTATTCTCAAAACCAGACACAGGCTGGATTCCAGTGGCTCAAAGCTGTGATCTTAGCTGCTCAGGAGGCAGAGATCAGGAGGATCTCGGATCAAAACTATCCCAGGCAAATAGTTTGTGAGATCCTATCTCAAAAAACCTATCACAAAAAAGGGCTGGTGGGCATGGTGGCACAGGCCTGTAATCCTACACCTTGAGCCACTCCACCAGCCCTGTTTTGTGATTACAGGTGTGAACCACTATACGAAAACTAAAGCAGTAAAAGATACTGTTAACAACCAATCATTTGAATAGTTTGTTAATATGCTGTGTTAGTGCACATCACTGGTGGGATAGCCCAGAGGACAATTCAGCAATATCTATCAAATTTACAAAACACTATATCCTTGGACCCAGAAATGCAAATTCTATGATTTTGTTCTAAAGAGGTATCTGCAGAGAAGCAAAATTATATACAAATAGGCTAATTCTGTGCAGTCCTATTTGTAATAGTCAACAATTAGAAACAACATAACTGCCCATCAAAAGGAAGACAGAGAAGTGGCTGTTTTGCATATATAATTATTTTTCACATTTTTAAAACTACATGAATACATTGCTTATTCATATATTATTGATGATAAAGTTAGGTTTAGTTCAAATTGCACAGTATCTTTAAATAGCATGGTATTATAGACTTTTTGTGAAATCACCTTTAATCTGTAAATCTTAGATTCCAAAAATCCTTATCCAGTATTTTGCTTCAATTTTGTAGTTAAAAGATCTTACTGATTATTCTGTATTCCTTAAGTTTTAAAACAGTCTTTTCCCTAATCATCCACTCTGACCTGAAGACAAATCTCCTAACTGAGGCACTAGACTTTCTGCTCAGGCTATCTTCAGCTGAGAAGATATTGTTTATTTTCTTTCATTTCTCTCTTTTTCTGTCTTTTACTAGAATTAAATATATTCCTTGCCAGTCTTATTTGGAATATATAAAAACTATAATAGTCTTTCATGCAGGAATCGGTATGAACACAAACATGAATGTGGGGTTCAGCAAAACAAAGTCCCCCCCCTAAAATGATCCCAATAAACAGAGAAGAGTGGGTGGGGTGCCAGAGGGAGAAAAGCCAAGCTTAAGCAAAGCCATGACTGACTAAGCATGTTCAGCTGCAGAAGAGATGGAAGCACTGCTGATTCCACAAATCACTGGCAATGCAATGCCCCAGGGAAGAGTGAGAAGGCAGGAGGCGTAACTCTCATACTCAGGAATGCTGTAATTTGCTCACACATTTACTGACCACACTTTCTTCAGGGTGCTTTTGTAATTTGAGGAGAGGACCTCCAACCTGGTACTTTTCTACTTTTCTCTGTGCTATGGCACCTGGGGGTGAGGTGAGGCAAGGAGGATCTCAATACACTTCCATCAATATTCCTCTGTGAAGGTTAGACCCTATGGCAGAGGAGCCTACTGATATATGAGGAACCAAAAACAAAGCACTGGAAGGAAGACATGATCTACTTTAAGGGACTAGTGTCTCTCCTCCTAACAGGTTTAACCAGAGGATTCAAGCCAGGAAAAAGTGTTGACCTGGCCAGGGCACACAAAGGAAGTCTGAGTTAGGCATCCAGTGGGATGGACTATATTGGATAAAGGAACAAAACATGCAGATGGAAACCAGGGAATAGAGGAGAACACGCACAGCCCCTTGGAGGCCTCCATAACTTCTATGGGTTGAACACAAAGCTGAGGCACCCTATGAGAATGAGAGGGGAGAAGCATGGGCACCAGCCTGACAAATGCTTTATGCTACAAAGTGTAACACCAAGGATAGTAGTGTCACATGTCAACAGGAAAGACAAAGCTGACAATGGGCCATGGACACAGGATGGTGAGTTACCTGTTGAACAGTCCATGTGCACCAGGCCAAGCTCACTGGTGGTTTTCATTTTCTTGGCGGTGTGCTCTGAGGTAGTGGGCGAGACCAGAGTGCTTGTGCTAGAGAAACAGGAAGCATTCACACCTAGGATGCTGTCTGAGGCCTGTTCAGTTTGCTCCATCTTCCTTTTCCGTGATGGTAGAGCAATGATAGAAGGGGTCACTGCCGATGTAGTCTGTGCTCTCCCAAGCAGATGGTAGCCAGGGATAGAGTGCTGGAGGAGGAAATGATCAATTCGGGCCTTCAGGGAGGGGTGGGGCAGGGGCTGGGAGTGTGGAGTAAAGGCTACACCTGTGAAAGGGTCGCTGGGCACTCGGCCCCAAGCAGCTTCGCTGTGGTTACACTTCTCCAGCGTGCTCTGGTCAATGACCTTGCCTGAGGGCAGCAGCATAGGGCAAGGCATGATCTCCAGGGTGATGGGATCCAGAAATTCTTCAGGTACATCCCGAATCACCTCAGCCAGCTCCTGTAGGTGGGAGGGGGCCTGCTGGCCCTCAGACTGGTCACAATCACTCTCCATGGGCAAAGCTGGTGTCTGCAGAGCCAAGTTCTGAGGCAGGCTCTCTGAGGCCACCAGCAGGACACTGTTCATCACCTCCTGAGAGCAGGTCTTGGCTGGTTGACCCCATACCTCCAAGCGCTTGACGCAAGGGATACCACTGCCTGTCACGTGGGTGATACAAATCTTGAGGTGGGCCACGTGGCTAAGGGAAAGAGCCCCTTTATTCCAGAGCTCCTGGAATACAACACCAGGGGAGGGGAGTGTGACTTCCATTGGGCTAAAAGGTGGTCTGGCCTTGAAGCCCCTGTGGCAAAACACCACTTGGCTCTGGTTTCTTAGTAAGACCTTGCCTACCAAGGTGAATGCCCCCTTGTCCGGGACAGATGGCTCAGCTGGGCCCAGGGTCCGGCACTCAGGTGAACTCCAAGAGGCTCTGCTGGATAAGGCAGATGTGTACATTTCCAGGCCAGTGATGTTCTGAACTCCCCCAGCTGTGAGGTCTATGTTAATCCTACAGATTTCTACATTAAAGGGAAAGGAAACTGTCACATGGACGGGTGGCTTAATGAAATACTCTGTCCTAAAACCACGGCTTCTTTTTGTGGGGTCTTCAGAGATGAGATTTTCTACTTCATAGCCATCAGCTGATATCTAGATTTAATGATACATAAGACACAGTGATGTAAATGAAGACAACTGGTTTTCAAGTTGTCACTACTAAGAAAACTCTCTAAAGAAAGTCTGAAGTTCCTCATTTTAAAATTTCTTCTAAAAAAAATAAATAAAATTTTCTCTATTAAACTGAATGTCCCAGGTCTTCTGAAGGTTTCCAAGATCACATCAAAGACTGTAAGTAAATATGTCCCCAAATAATATGAGCAATAAAACTCCAATCAAGCTAGACCTGGTGGCAGATGCCTATAATCCCAGCACTCAGGAGGCTGAGGCAGGAAGATCACCTGGGCTACACAGTGAGACCTAATCTCAAAAAATAAAAACAAAAACAGAAAAACTCTGCCCAATCCAATCAAAAGCACCTTCAAAAATAACATCTCTGTGAAAAGGGGGCAGATATACTAGTAGATTTTATTGCAGAGGATTAAAACATGCAGACTTAGGGGAAAACAAAAATGCTCATTAAAGCTCATTTAAACTGGGCGCTGGTGGCTACAACTGTAATTCTAGTTACTCAGGAAGGCAGAGATCCAGAGGATGGAGGTTCGAAGCCAGCCCAAGCAAACAGTTTGCAAGACCCTATCTCAAAAAAACCTTTCACAAAAAAGGGCTGGTGGAGTGACCCAAGGTATAGGCCCTGAGTTCAATCCCCAGTACCGCAAAAAAAAAACCAAACCTCTCAGTTTTGTATTTGGATCCTACCAACCATATGTTTCCATAGGAAAGCATAAAAAACGAACTTCTTATGAATCTGTGAATGATGGCCTTGGTAAGAAAATGTGTGTTCAGAGTCGAGGACCACAAAAGAGCAAGAGGAAATTCAAAATAGTGAATGGGCCATGGAGTACAGTTTTTAATTTCTCTCTCTTTTAATATTTCCAATTGAACTAATGGAAATTTTAAGATATCTTTACAGAGGTCAGCTTAACTATCTGGGAATGTAAAGTAGCATGCTCAGTAAAGAAACTCCAAATTAGGGTAGAGGTTCAATTTTTCCCTTGGTGCTTCCTTATTCCCTGTTCTGTTCTGTGGACAGACATCCTCTTTTGCACAAAAAAGGAAGTAAGTTTAATTCAAAGAAAAATAGTAAGCTGGATATGGTGGCACACACTTAGAGCAATTGAGAAGCTGAGGCAAGAGGATATGAGTTTGAGGCCAGCATGGGCTAAATATTGAAACCCTGTCTCAAACAAAACAAAAGCAAAAACCAACCAAACAAAAAACAACCAATGAATCTAAACCACAGATACAAGCCATTACTTCTAGCATGAGAAATTAGTAAGAGAGAGCCAGGTGCAGTGGCACACACCAGTACTCCTAGCACTTGGAGGCCAAGGTAGGAAGACTGGATTCAAGGCCAAGGGCTACATGATAAGACCTCTGCCTCAAAACAAATAACAACAAAAGAAATTAGTAAGCCAGGCACTGGTGGTTCATGCTTCTAATCCTAGATATTCAGGAGGCAGAGATCAGGAGGATTGTGATTTGAAGCCAGGCTGGGCAAATACTTTGCAAGACCCTATCTCGAAAAAATCCATCACAAAAAAGGGCTGGTGGGCTCAAGGTGTAGACCGAGTCAAACCCCAGTACCACAAAAAAAAGAAATGAGCAAAAGAGCCAGGCATGGTGGCACAGGTCTGTAATCCAGCACAGGGATAGGCTGAGGCAGGAGGATCTCGAGTTTGAGACAAGCCTGGACTATATAGTGAATAGTGAGACCCTGTCACAAAAAAAGAACAAAGAAAGAAAAATTAGTAAAAGAAGTAGTAGAAGACAAATGTATTTCTATCTTTGCTATGACTTTGGGTAGAACTGAAATTGATCATTCAAGAAGAAAGAGCACAGTGAGAAAGACCAGGCACCAAATCAGTCATTGCTCTCCTCGTACAGTGCTCTAGATTCTAGAAGTGAGCCTGCCCCATGCTTAACTAAATACTGCCTGGTAGAATCTAAGGGTGAAAGTACAGTAAACCAGAATCAAGTCCACATACACAAGGCAAGATATGGAAGAAAAACTAAAAGTATATACTGTATACTTATGTGTATATACTTGTTCAGTTTACCTTGTTGCAGTGAATTCTTGGTCTGAACTGTGGGAGGCAAAGATTTACTACCATCTCTGTGGCTGAAAGGATTACTTCCAAGCATCAGAAACAGCCTTAAATAAAAAAATAAGACTTAGTATTAGTCAGACAAGTTAAAATGCAGCTCTAAACTTTCAGGAAGTTGGATACCAGTGGCTCACACCTGTATTTCTAGCTACTTGGAAGGCTGAGATAGGGAGGATCAAAGTTTCAGGCCAGCTTGGGCAGACAGTTCATGTGACCTCATCTCCAAAATAATCAGAGCAAAATGGACTGGAGGTGTGGCTCAAGTGGTAGAGCATTTGCTTTACAAGAGTGAAGCCCTGAGTTCAAATTCCAGTCCTATCAAAAAAAAAAAAAAGCTTTCAGGAGTTGATTCCTAAGAGAAGAGAATCAAACAAGGTAAGAAGAAAACCTTTAGCACACTCAGTCTCACAGTAATACTCTCCTGTATCCTACACATGACACTGGGAGAAAAGTAGTCACTGAAAAGTTATGAAGAAGATTTCTATTGTAGGCTCCCCAGGCTGGCAAGGCCTGCTAGTTCTCTGGCTGACAGCTGTGCCAAAGACCCAGTGGAAGCAAGGGCTATCAGTGCTGCAGAGGGCTCCCCAAGGAAAGGGACAGTCAAAAGTGAGTTCAGAAAACGAACAGAAGGCTTAGAATGGAAAGGGTCACAGAAAATAATTATAATAGTGCTGGGCACCTTTTTCATTTAACACATGTCAATGCAATTATATTTTTCTATTACAACAAAACAATTAGAAGAGTCAAAAACATCATTAGTGAGAAGTCTGTAAGGGTTTTTATTGAATTATGTGGAATCTCAGGCAACTTAGGGAGCTATTATGACATCTTCATGAAACTAGTGAGCATAACCTATTCTTTTTCTTTTTTTTTTTAGTAGTGGTAATGGGGTTTGAACTTAGGGCCTTACAGTTGCTAGGCAGATGTTCTACCACTTGAATCTGCTCCCAGCTCTTTTTGTTTAGTTAATTTTTGATTTTTTTGCCTTGGCTAGCTTAGACCCATGATCCTCCTCCAATTTATGCCTCTTATATAGCTAGGATGACAGGCATATGCTACCACTCCCAGCTTTATTGGCTGACATGGGGTTTTACTAACTTTTTTCTGGGCTGGCCTTGAACCATGATCCTCCTGTTCTCCAATTCCCAAGTAGTTGAGATTACAGGCATGAGCTACTGAACCTGGCCTAAGCACAGCATTTCTGCTCATTTATTTAGGTTATACTGGTTCTTTCTTGAATTACAATTAGAATGGACTCTAACAAATACTTGAAACAATATTAATAACACATTATCACAAATGCAATTTGTGTTTACTGAGTGTTACATGTCAGACCTCATGTCAAATGTGTAATGTGTATCATCTATCTCATTAATCCTCACACCAGCCCTAAGGTAGGTACTAATATTCTTACTTGGTGGATGAAGAAACTGAGACTCAAAGAGAGGTTACTTCCTTAAGCACTCTGGTTAGCATCTACATGGACATTATTTACCTTAAAGGATTTACCAGGATGTTAGGTAGTTTAAAATTATATGCTCTACAGGTACAACTTTTTCTTCTGTTACTTAGACCAAAGTTTGATATAATTCATTTCAAAAGCAATTTTCCAGACTTAAAATTAATGTACCTGTGCTCTACACTGTGGAACTGTGGAAACCTTGACGGCCCTTTCCAACATGCATTGGATCAGGCCTCAAATTTTTTTCTAAAGAAAATCTTTTTTTACTTTTACTTTTTTATTTTATTTTACTCATATGTACTCTAAAGAAAATCTTAATGGAGCCTGTCCATTGCTATTACTTCCTCTTCCCTCCTATGTAGAGGTGAGGGAGCCAAGTCAAGCATCTCACCTCAGAAGGCTACTCTACCTTGATTGGAGGTCTTTAACTCTAGAGTTACCTACAAAAGCATATGGCTGACCAGACACAGACTATTTCCCTCCACAGTACATACCAAATTGTAATCTGCACAAATATTCACTGAGACTATTCAGTCAATCCAACATTAAATTCTCTTCAATGCCAGCACCTCTTGCCTCCTGCTGGGCATCCCTGGGGACTGCTGCAGCTCACATCACACACCACTACCTCACAGACTTCTCAGCAGTCTGCATCCTCACCTGTAGCAAAATTTAAAAATGTATTAGTAAATATTCAAGGCTGGGGGTGTAGTTCAGTAGTAGTACAGTTGCCTACCATGCATGAGGCTCTGAATTTGATTCCGAGCACCATGAATAAATAATTTTGAAAAATCAAAATTCACTAGCTAATCTGTGAAGACTTGCAGGACACCAGAGTGGCAGGATACAGCAGATGAGAACTACAATTTGAGTATGGAAAACATATCCTTTGAGGTGAATTTGATCAAAGTACATTATATGCATCTGTGGAAATTTCATAATGAAACCCCTCTGTACAACTGAAATATGCTAAACTAAAAACATGTCCTTCCTGGAGTTGATCCTCCAAGCAGTGTACTGGACCATCCTCAAATTCATACCAGCCACCACTGTCACCATGTTCCTCAGTCCACTGCAAATACTCTTCATCAAACTTCCCCTGGCACTGTGTCTAAGACATAGCTCTGTAAGGTTAGAGGCTGCTTTGTTAGGCTGTCAAAATTATCATTCCCTACTCTACATGCATAGTCTCTTTAAGATCCATATGAAAAATTTCCCTCTGCTTTCAGTACAATTGCTTCTCTCAAGCAACTCAATATTTTATGATATGACCACAGATCGTATTCCTTCATTTTGATGGCTAGAAAACTGAGAATAAAATCTGTGACCCATCACTAAAATTTCTTTGCCTAAATCTTTACTTATTTTTATGTCATATGTCAGCATGTCATGTATTTTGTTATGTATGAGTTATCTTTTTTTTTGGCAGTACTAGGGTTTGAACTCAGGACCTCACACTTGCTAGGCAGATGCTCTACCACTTGAGCTTCTCTACCAGCCCTGTTTTGTGTCGGATATTTTTAGAGAGGTCTGGATAACTATTTGCCAAGGCTGGCTTTGAGTTGTGATCCTGATCTCTGCCTACCGAGTACAAGATTGTAAGTGTGAGGCAGCAGCGTCCAGCTATATGAGTTATCTAATTTTAGAACTGGATGGAGTATAAATAAATAATAAATTATCTCTTTTGGGGGGCTATTTAGGTTGTCAGAAGTCTTTTGTTTTCCTAATGGATCCTGCTATTAGTGAATAGGATCTTACTCTATTTTTTAAAAATTTTTTGTGTTATGGGATTTGAACTCAGGGCCTCACACTTGCTAAGCAGGTGCTCTACCACTTGAGCCACTCCACCAGTCCTTTTTTCTGTTCAGTATTTTTGGGATAGGGTCTCAACAACTATTTGCTGGGGCAGGCTTCGAATCTCGATCCTCCTGATTTCTGCCTCCTGAGTGGTTATGATTACAGGTGTGAGCTACTGGCACCTGGCTACTCCATTAATTTTTAACCAGTTACTGCTATATATAGGAAAACTTTTCACTTCCCTATTTTTAGCATATGTACAGTTGAACTGTTTTTGTTTTTGTTTTTGTTTTGTGAGCTGGGAATTAAACTCAGGGCCTCATGCATGCTAGGGAAGCACTCTAGGCTTTGAATTGTTACCGATTTTTGCTTTTTTGGTGGGACTAGGGTTTGAACTCAGGGCTTTGCAGCACTTGCAAAGCAGGTACTCTACTGCTTGAGCCAAGCCCCCAGTCCATTTTGTGCCAGTTATTTGGAGATGGGGTCTCCCATACTATTTGCCTGAGCTAGCCTCTGACTACAATCCTCTCAATGTAAACCTCCCAAATAGCTAGGATCACGCCGGTGACTCAAGGCACCCAGCTGTTACTGTTTTTTTTTTTTTTTTTTTGTGGTGCTGGGGTTTGAACTCAGGTGGTGAAACTATTATGTATTATACTGTAATGGTAGATGACATGGCAGGTGCTCTACCACTTGAGCCACACCCCCAGCCTTTTTTGCTTTAGGTTATTTTTTAGTAGGGTCTTCCATTTTTGCCTGGGGTCAGCCTCAGGCTGTCATCCTACCACCTATGCCTCCCATGTAGCTGGGATTACAGATGTGTACCACCACACCAGATTTGAGATGGGATCTAACTTTTGTCCAGGTTGGCCTTGAACCAAGATCCTCCTAATCTCTGCCTCCTAAGTAGCTAGAAAGAGTTAATAATAATGTATCAATATTCACTCACCAATTGTAACAAATGTGTACCACATTAATGTAAAAATGTTAATAATAGAAGTGATTTAAAACAAGTTGAGCTTTAGGACTGAAGCTCAAACTGAAATATGCGAACAAAAACACAAACTGCCATCACAGGACAACAGTGGCAGACGATTTTTTAAAAATCTTGGAAATGATAGTATCTGTTTCTTTAGGAAATGGTAATACCTAAATACTAGATGGATCCTATAGGAGTCTAGCTACTACCAAAGTCTTTAACTGGTATGATCTTATCATTTCTCTGGTTCCAACACCCTGATCTTTCAAGGTTAAGTGCCTCTTTCCTAAATGCTTAAATCAGAAAAAAAAAAAAAAAAGATTCAACATACAAAAAGGAAAGCAGCCTAGCCTGGAAAATAGCCTTCCTACCCCTATAGAGGAAATGGACATGTAAACTGAACTCATTAAAACACTGTCCAGTAAATACTTAACAAATTACAGTCTCTTTCACTAAATATGAGTACAAGGAAGACTAGACCTGAGTATAAACTGGGAATCTCAGATTACAACTAAAGTGTCCTGAAGTTAAGATAAGGAACTTGGAGCCAGGTAACAATGACATTGTAAGATAACAGTTCATGTTTACAAGCAGATAACATAGAAGCCAATAATCATTAGAGATTCTTTCTTTTTATTACAAAATATTTCAGATAAAAAAATAAAGGACACAGAATGTAACTCTTGGACCTACCACCTAGTCTCAGTAAATGTCAACATTTTGCCATTTTTTTTCTGATTTTATTGTTAAGAGCAAAATCTGAAAGATAAAAACAAAAACCACTTCCTAACTTTTTTTAAAAATTTTTTGACAGCAGTAGAACTTGAACTCAGGGCCTCATGTTTGCTAGGCAGGCACTCTACCACTTGAGCCATTGTACCAGCCCTTTTTTTTGTGTGTATGTTGGATACTTCTGAGATAGGGTCTTGCTTTTAATCCTATTCATACCTCCTGTGTAGCTGTGATGAAGGTGCACACCACCATGCCAAGCTTTTATTGGCTGAAATGGGATCTCCCAAATTTTTGTTGTTGTTTTTTCTCCCAAACTTTTTTGCCCAGGCAGGCCTCAAAATGAGATCCTCCCCATCTCTACTTCCCAAGTAACTAGGATTACATATGTGAGCCACCACACCCAGATATAAGGACTATTTTTAAAAAATTAAGTGGAATAGAAAGGAAACACCAGACTGCACCACACATAGGTATTTTTTGTGAAATTTCTGTTTTAGTTACACACATATGCATAGACATATACATGAATTCCTTTAAGGTTTGGATATAAAAGGCATTTCTTTTTAAGGGTTGTAATAAAAAAAAAGTTTGAAAGCTATTGGTCAGAGAGAAGTCATAGAAGGCTTATAATCATGGAGAGAAATGACACTAATGAAGTCTGCCATTAACCTCCTAGATGACAAAAGCAATTCTGAACCACTTAGAAGCAATTCGCCTTTTTTCTAGCTGATATGTTCCCATGATCTTTCTGTACTGTGAGGGGCTATCTTTGAGAATGGCTGCCTGAAGACAGTCAAGATGAGTACCAGGGTGCAAATTACTTACAAGCAAATGGGTACTCTCAGTTCTTTTTTATTTTCTTAGTTTTCCCTTGACATTTTCTATCTTTAGTTTTTTGAGGGAGGGATATTCTTTAAAAGGAAGGAGGAAAATGGGTAATGTATTTAACGTACTTAACATACTGCTGAGCATCTTGCTAGGATTTCTAAGAAATTGTTTATTTTTAAATTAATTAAACCATTTAAGAAAACTGTAGGTTCGTGTGCAGTTATAAGGGTAAAGCCCTTTACACAGTTTCTCCAATGGAAAATACACAGCTATAATACACAATTCCTAGGAAACTGACCATGGCAACAATCCACTCACTCAGATTTCATCAGTTTTACATGTGCTCATTTGTGTGTGCCAATCTATTTAGTTCTATGCAACTTTCTTCTACTTATAGGTCTGTGTAATCGAAACAACAGTCAAGATACAGAAAGTTCAATCACCAAAAGGATCTTCTGTGCTACTTTTTAAGAAGTATCTGTTAAATTTATAAGTCTAAATTTTTTTTTCCTTCAGTTCTGAGGAATGACCCCAGGGCCTCACACATTTTTCCACTGAGTTACACCCCCAGCCACCAAATGCTCTTATTACCATGGAAGTTCTTTAGTTTTTCACCCAGATCTAGGCCTCTTGACCTAAAGCTCCAGTTAAAGCCCTTTGCCCACAAGGTAAGAACCAAACTTGAGTGAGACACTGATTTATTTTTATTGCTCATGTCAGTTAAATGATAATGACTGCAGAAAAACAGAAAAGTATATGTAATGAAAAGAACACAAAACTTGTACAAGAATTTAACATGTTTGTTAAAAATCTACATCTAGGGATAGTCTATAATCCCAGCATTGGGAAGACGGAGGCAGCAAGATTTCAAGAGGCCCTGTCTCAAAAAAACAACAAAGAGCAGGGTGGTGGTGCAGGCCTGTCATTCCAGCTACTTGGGAGGCAGAGTAGGATTGTGGTTCAAGGCCAGCCAAGGCAAAGTTAGTGCAAGACCCTATCTGAAAAACAAACTAAAAACAAAAAGGATGGGGGTATGGTTCAAGTTGCACAGCTAGAGAGGCCCTGAGTTCAATCCCCAGTACCACAAAAAGACAAACAAAAAACCCCAACAATGACAAAGAACTGGGGACAGCTCAGTAGTACAGTATCTGCCTAGCATGCAAAAGGCCCTGGGTTTGGTCCCCAACACTGGAAAAACAAAACAAAACAAAACAAAACCCTACATCTAGGGATATGTTACATGAATAGTTTGGGAGTAATGGTAGGCATTCAGAAATTTAAATATGTAACATACAAACTGGTGGAATAAATTGGGATTTTTTTTCCCTTTATATGTTGTGAAGTAGAGGTGAGTAATTTACACACCTGAACTGGAGGTGTGGCTCAAGTGGTGGAGTGCCTGCTTTCCAAGCACAAAGACCTGAGTTCCTCAGGCCTACCAAAAAAAAAAAAAAGAAAAAAAAAAAGGCACAGCTGGACTGGATCCTGAGGTCTTGGAATGGTATCAGGAAGGACTGAGCATCCACACCCTGCTCTGGGTACTTTTTATAGGAGGAGTGACCAACTCTATTAGTCTATGCAGGACTGAGGAGTTTCCCAGGTCATAGGCCTTTCAGTACTAAAACTAGGAAAGTCCTATGCCAACTGGGATGAGTTGGTCTCTCTGCCAGAAGATTGTAGTCTGTGTTCCCCTGGAACTTGACGCAATGAAGTAATTCCTTTGTTGCTGAGGTTCAAAATGTGGAGATGGGGAAGTGTGGAGAGATAATTTTGAAGAGAATAAGGTGACCATGACACTTTCCGAACACCTGAGCATCCATCTTCCTTTGGCCTACAAAGAAGGTGCCATGGCAGACTTACACAATTTGATTTTTGAATCTCACAAAATGTAATAGAAAGTAATTCTGGCAGATACACATATTTTAAAGACTAGGCTCAAAAAAGAAGAAAAGATTACCTGTCAAGTAAGAGAAAAGCATTTAACCTCAAAGAGTAGGTGAATACCAATGTAGTGAGCAATTTTATAAATTGGGCACTTCAGCTTTTAAAGACACATAATACTTCTTATAATTTCTAAATTGAGTTACTTGTCCATCCAGGAAAAAAGTGACTTATGTACATTTTTCTTAGAGCTGGTTAAAATGAAAGACAGCTGACCCTTCCTATCACACACAATTGCCCACCAGTGAGAGGTGGACAGGAAGACCAAACACAGCCATAGGCCCAAAAGAAGCCTGTAATTTTATACATTGTGCAGCTGAGTCACGCTTCAAGGGCTTAAATGTTTGAGTTAGAGTTAGATGTGGTTTTGTTTTGTTTTTTTTTTTTTTTGGTGGGGAAGGGATTCTATTTTGTTTGGTTTTGGGGGGCAATACTAGGGACTGAATTCAAGGCCTTGGACTTGTTAGGGCAGGTGTTCTATCACTTGAGTGATACTGCCAGCCCAACATTTGTTTTTGCTGCTGCTGATCAAATCTAGGGCATCGTACAGGCAAGCACCCTACCACTGAGCTATGCCCTCAGCCCATGGCCACAGTCTTTAATCTTAAGAAACCCATAGGTAGCTGGGTGTGGTGGTACCTACTATAAACCCAACACTCAGGAGGCTGAGGCAGGAGGATCAGAGTTCCAGGCCAGTTTGAGGTACACAGTGACATCCTGTCTCAAAAAAAGAAAAAACAAAGCAAAACAAAAACACATAGGTAAAAAAATATAAAGAAAAAGGAAAAAAAAAAAAAAAAAGCCAGGCGCCTGTGGCTCATACCTGTAATCCTAACTACTTGGGAAGCTGAGATCAGGAGGGTGTGGTTTGAGGTCACCCCAGGCAAATAGTTTGAAAGACCTGTCTCCAAAATAACCACACCAAAATGAACTGGAGACCTGAATCATGTTGAGACATTCCCCTTAAAAGAAATTCTCACAGACCACAAGTGCTTACAAAAGTTACTTGTATTATGCAGTCTCCTTATGTGGCTCTAATACAATCAAACTTGAATCAATTAAACCTGCTGCCCACGGGACTTCCTAATTTGAGAGGTTAATATGGTTCCTTCTTATCTAAGCTACCTGCATGAAAAACAACCATCAGATTTGGGAGCCACTGCCCAATGGGCACTTAAATATAATTCAATTCTTCTGGATCCAATTTTTTTTTCTTGCTGTATTGGAGAACAAACCCAGGGCTGGGCAAGTTAGGCAAGCACTTTACCACAGAGCTGCATCACCAATCCCTTCTAGATCCCATTTTGAGAAGGAAATATGGAAGGGTTGCATAAAGTTTATACAAGAACAGTAGAAATGTTGGAGTGGGGTGTAAGAGGAAGACATTAATTCTCTAATTCTAAAATGTTTGTTTTGGGCTGGGGATGTAGCTCAGCAGTAAAGCACGATTACCTGGGATATGCAAGACCCTTGAATTTGATTCCCAGCACCACAAAAAAATTAATTAAATGGCTGTTTAAAGTAGGAAGCACAATGGACACAGGGTGTGGTTCAAGTGGTAGAGTACCTGCCTAGTGAGCACGGGGCCCTGACTTTAACCCCTAGTACTGTCTAAATAAATAAAGTAGGAAGAATAAGTAACTGAGGACAGACAACCAAATCTAAACAAGGAAGACTTTCATCTTAGAGGGTGAAAAGAAAACACAAATGAAGAGAAAAACCTGAAATGTAAGTGAAGCTTTACGAAATTCTCATTTGAAAACAAAGTATATGAAAAACACTTTGAACAAACTGGCTTTAGATAATTATCTAAGCTTTTATTCTAAAAGCTCAATATAATTATGATATAATGCAAGTAAAAAGGGAAAGGAAAATGCAATAGAACTTACTGGATCATAGGACATTTTAAGGTGTTTTTTATTAGAGCAAAATGTACAAACTAGCTACATACTAGCAGCAACTTGCTTCTAGTAAGGGCTACAAGTAATTTACTCCACAAACAATAGCGCAACTACATCTCCTCGGCAGATGTTATTATCAAACACATTCTGGCTTTTATATAATTCTTTTGCAATACAGGTTGAGTATTCCTTATCCAAAATGTTCAGCATTAGAAATGTTTCAGACAGATTTCGGGTTGTTTCAGACTTGGGAATATTTGCATACACTACCATTTGGGTATCCCTACTCTGAAAAACCTGAAATCTGAAATCACACTGCCAAAAAACGCCCCAAAAAACCAAAATTTAAAAAAAGACACAAAAAGTTTCATGGTCTGGGAGTATAGTTGAAGTGGTAGAGCGCCTGCCTAGCAAATGCAAGGCTCTGTGTTCAAACTCCAATACTGTCCCTCCCTCCAAAAGGTTCAGATCTTGGAGCATCTTGGATTTTGATTTTTGGATTAGGGATGCTCAATCTGTACCTGGTACAGGATACACCTAAGGCTTTTATGAGTACAAATGTCCAAGACAGCCGTTCAGAGAGCAGAGGTGAATACTTTCTCATGGAGGTATGCCAGCTTTTCTAAGCGAGTTCGTTTCAGCAGAGGGAGCCACTCCCAGTGGGATAACTCTACCACTCGGTACCCAAGTCGAACCAGCTGCCGCCTCTTCATACTGTGCAGTCCAAGCAGATCCTTGGAACCATAGCAATATTGGTTCTTATTCGTCAACTGAATAGCTAGTTTCACCACTGGGGACTGCAGGTGGCCTGAGGGGCATGGACTATCCATCTGCACAGCCCCCACTCTCTCTACCACATTACAAGGGGAAACCTCCAAGGGTATGACTGTCTTATTTTCTAACTCCATGGGTTGCTCACCAGTCTCTGACTCAGTTTCCCCCTGGAAATACTTTCTGACTTTCCCTTTTACCAACTGACTCATCAAATTATCTGTAAGGCTGACTCCCACATGCTTAAGCCTTAATTTGGCTACACCTTCAGATGGGATGGCTTCTCTGTTAAATGGTAATGGCTTCATGTCAGCATCAAGTTGGACCTCTAAGTCAGAAGATCGGGTATGAGGCAAAATCATATGGTGCTTGATGTACTGAGGGCCACCCAACATGGTCTCAAGTAAAGAGAGAGCTTCTAGGAATTCAGGCTTTGAGATCATATCCTTCCTTGCTAAATTCCACAGTTTTGTGGACGCCTCTTGTTGAAGGTGAGAACTAAGACGACTGCCTCTATAATTTGGGCACTCAATGCCAACTGTACCATCAAGAGTATACAGTTCCTTAGTGAGTTCAAACTTACTTCTCTCCTGAGCTAACCTGACAAACCGTGGACTTAGAGCAACATCGATAAAATCCGTTGGAAAGTACTCAGAAAATGCCAGGCCCAGCAGACAAGTTAGCAGGTGTTCTGGATATTGATTGAATTCAGGCATCTTTCTATGAATCTCATTTATCAGACTGGAATAAAATTCTTCTGTGTTGGGTGGCTTATAATTCAGAGTTCCAAATGACCACAGAATTTTGGCAACATCTTTACTTCGGCAGTGTGCTACCCTAGGAGGCAAAGAGGCAGCCACCGTATTCATTACCCTTTCATCCAGGATGCGTAAGGCTGAGCAGGCAAGAGTCAGGTGCATGACACCCTGAACCCCCAGGGAAGGAATTCGTTGAGGAGCAATCTCTCCAAACTGCTTCATGAAATTGATGTGATCCACATGAGTGAAACGGAACATTTTAAGAATATGCACTAAGGCATGACTACTCAGATGCTGCATGTCTGCACAAGCCACATCCCCAATTTTCCGCATAATAAATTCAGAGAGACTACTACTTGACTTAAAGAAACCTAAACAGATTGTACCAATTTCCTCTAAATTTATCAAATCTATATACTTAAGAATCAGTGATTCCAGTTTCTGCATTAGGTCCTTTGGTACCTGACGACTTTCACCTATGATATAAATTAAGTGAATCAGCTGGGATAAGGATAGATCTTTCCAGTGCAAATTAAGATAACTAAAAAAAATGTTTAAAAACCGAGGTACTCTACGGCCTAAGTGTCGCCAAAGATCAGCCACCAAGAGAAGCTGATCCAGACTCATCTCCCACACATGATGGCAAAATCTGGTTTCATACATATCTAGCATTGAATGGAAGTGAGGGATTCCTAAGCCAACAAAGGCTTTCAAAATACTGATCAGATCTGTGATATGGAAGAGCTGAATGTTTTTCACGCTCAGCTGACAGAGCAAAGCAAAGCTGGCATGGGACAGCAAAAGAGGACGTTGCTCAGCAGGCAAAGAACTCAGCTTACAGAAATAATCAGCAATGACTTCAGGCTGGAGGTTATTTTGATAAACTGTGACTTTGTGCAAAATCAGTTCACCTTCTGAAACAGACAGAGGCTGACAAGTCTCAGATCTGTTATAGCTGTGAAGCTGGTACTCTGGCCTTAGCTGTAGGAAAACTCGGGTGCCTTCAAAGGAATCAAAAACTTCTACATCCTCTTCATCAACTCTCATGGCCCTGGGTGAGCCTGGCTGCAACGTGCTGGCATTAGAGGTAGAAGCCTTGCTGAATTCCAAACCCAGGAGGGCACTGCTGGTTGTGAAGACTCTCTGAGAAGAGGCGATGCTACCAATGTTCTTAACCTTTCTGGCAGGATGGTGAGGGTTACTGTGCTCTGGAGAGTCCTGTCCCCTGTGCCGTGTGCTGCTCCCCACATTCCAATATGCCACTCTTTGGGCTGCACTGTAGGTAAAAGGACCGCAAAATGCTTGATATTTTAGAGGTTTTAACAACTTGAGAGTGACTGCCATTCTCGTATCAGTACTGATCTTTTTGGCAGTCAGAGCACAGTTCTCACAGGTCTGACCAGGCAATTTCTTGTTTATGTGGTGCTTGATTAGAGCTGAACAGGGAGGTGTTCCATGGACAATGCCTGGAAATCTTCGGCATACCACAAGAGCCATGGATCACAAATGACTGGGCCAGAATTGGTGCCAGATACTGAAAAAAGGGTAGATGAAGAATGAGTGGCTTCCACCTATCACAATACCAAAATTTACATATTATAAGAAATAGATTCAAACTAGACTGCTGTCCACACAAGTAAGTTCAATACTAGTGAATGCCCAAACCACGAGCCAATGTGTATCAAGAATAAACTGTGTGCTTTGCATAAAGGCACAGGAAAACCCCAAATCCATGGTACCACTGGAGTGTTCCTAGACTGCTGCTTGATCCAGACTTACTTCATTGTAGATGGGAAGCAGTGACAGAGAAGAGACATTCAGTTGTTCACTAACATTCAACAGGAATGAGGAGGGCAGATTTCCAAAAGGAAAGCTAGAAAAAAAAAGTGAGCAATTCATTCTATCTCTTTATAGCAACACATAAAAGTCACGCTTGGAAAACAAGAAAGTTTATAAAAGCTGTTGGTTGCTCACACTTACAAGCCTAACTACTCCGGAGGCAGAGATCAGGAAGATCGCCTCAACCTCCCGAGTGTTAGGATAACAGGTATGTATCACCATGCCCACTGCCCTCCTGGTTCAGTTTCTTTTAGTGGGACTAGAGTTTGAACTCAGCGCTATGCTCTTGGAAAGCAGGAGCTCTACCACTTGAGTCATATCTCCAGTCCATTTTGCTCTGGTTATTTTAAATATGGGCTCTCCAAAGTATTTTTCTGAGCTGGTCTCAAACTGCATCCTGATCTCAGCCTCCCAAGTAGCTGGGATTACAGGTGTGAGAGCCATCTCTACCTCTACCTTTTAGAAGAGTTAGAAGAGGCCAAATGAGCTCTCTAGGGTTTGTGTGTGTGTGTGGTTTTTTTTTTTTTTTTTTTTTTGGCAGTACTGAGGTTTGAATTTAGGGCCTTGAACCTGCTAAGCAAGCACTCTACCTCTAGCCTTTTTTTTTTTTTTTGCACTGTTTTTTTTGTTTGTTTGTTTGTTTGGGTTTTTTTTTTTCTGGTACTAGGGCTTGAACTCAGGGCCTTCACCTTGAGGCACTCCACCAGCCCTTTTGATGGGTACTTTTGAGACAGGGTCTCATGAACCCAGCTGGCTTTGAACTATAATCCTCCTGATCTCTGCCTCCTGAGTAGCTAGGATTACAGGTGTGAGCCACCAGCGCCTGGCTGCATTGGTTATTTTTTATTTATGCCCAGGCTGGCCTAGACCATGATCCTCCTATTTGTGCTTCCCTATGTAGCTTGGATGTGAGGGGCATGCCACCATACCCAGCCATTGGTTGGGATGGGATCTTGTGAACTTTTTGCTGGAACTAGCTTCGAGTCTCAACCCTCCTGATCTCCACTTCTCAAGCAGCTAGCTAGTATTATAGGTTTGAGCCACTTTTTCTTTCTTTCTTTTTTGTTTTTTTTTTAGCAGGGGTCTTACAATGTAGCTCAGGCTGATCTAGAACTCCCAATCCGCCCAAGTGATTGAACTTACTTGTGGCTGGCCTCCAGGAGTTTAACAGAATTTGAAGCACTACCACAGAGTAGCTGAACAATGGGGAAGTATACTCAGAAACTCACTCGTGGTGACTGGGGAAAGCAGAAGGCCAAGGGTCTGCTATCGATTTATGGATGGAAAGCAAAGAGCCACTCAAAGCTGGGCTCAGCATACAGGAAACACCAGTTCACACAACTGCCCTGTTGGCAAGTCAGTGGCAGCACAGTTTTCCTCTTGAAGAGGCAGATTAGCCATGCTGCCACTTAGTCAGGCAATGATTCTGTCGTCATTCTGCGTATGATCAGTACAATTTCCATTTTCCTTCCATGGTAGAAACCATAGAGGTTATGAAAATGACTGCCATAGTTTTGCTTTATTTAATGCTTATTCTCTTTCTATTTAGGTGCCAAAGCAAAGCAAAATCCAAGAAGATATGGGTTGCCAAGTGATGGATTGCACAGGGCTGTTGCTGCAGAAAATTCTGAGGATTCCAAGGTGGCCAAAATGACTTTTTTTTTTTTTTTTGGTGAGACGGGGGTTTGAACTCAGGGTTTCAAGTTTGCACTCTACCACTTGAGCCATGCTTCCAGTCCATTTTGCCCTGGTTATTTTAGAGATGAGGGTCTCACAAACTATTTGTTGAGGCTGGCCTCGAACCTTCATCCTCCTGATCTCAGCCTCCCAAGTAGCAAGGACTGCACTGCAGGCATGACCCACCAGTGCCCAGCTCAGAATGACTTCTGAAATGTGTACCTAACTTTGCTGTCAGCCTCTTCCTTCCAGAGCCTATACGTAGCATAAAAACCAGAGGCAGGGGGCTAATATCTTTTTCTGGTAACTGAGCTACACAGGCTTCTCTCAGTGACATATTTCTCTCAGTATGTTCAAAACAAATGCTCTTCCAGTCAAGCCATATCCCTAACCCTTCTCAGTGTGTTCTAGTCTCTGTGAACTACAGCAGAAATCTTTTACACTAAATCTTTATACACTTGTTTCTTCATTGTGGTCTGTGAACCATTCTGCCTGCAAGTTACAACCCATGGGTTTAGGTGCTACAGACCAGGGATTAGCAAACAACATCCCAGGACCCAAATCCAAATCTTTTTTTTTTTTTCCTTTTTTTGTGAGACTGAACTGAGGAACTCATGCTTAGCTACCCAGGTGCTCTACCACCTGAGCCACTCAGCGCAGGCCTTTTTTTGTGTTGCGTATTTTCAAAATAGGGTCTCATGGCTTCGAACCACAATCCTCCCAAGTAGCTAGGATTACTGACATGAGCCACCAGCACCAGGCCCTACCTTTCTGTTCAAGTAAAAAACATACCTACCATCTCAGAACCTGCCTATACATACTGTTTATGTTGGCTTTTCTACTACCAGACCTGAGTAACTGTCACATAGACTGTATGCCTACAGATAATAAAGTATTTACTGTCTGGCTCTTTATAGTTCTATGAATGCAGATGACCAACATCTGCATCAGAAAAACATTAGGAAAATAGTGCTTAAATAGTTATATTTTTCTTTAATATTTAGATGATACTTAAAGATTTATATGCCTTGGGCTGGAGGGGTAGCTTAGTGGTACAATATATGCTTAACATGCATGAAGTTTTAGCACCACCACCAAAAAAACAGGGGGGGGGGTCACGACTTAAAATAGTCACTAGGAATCTCAATTAATATTATACCATAAGCATGGTGTCAATAAAACAGAGAGCAGGTAGCAGAGTGTTCCAGCTGATGGAATAGGGCTTTTAAGAAGACCTGTTTTGCAACAAGAAATCTAAATTTAGCCTAACACAGTATACAACTAAAGCCATAAACTGTTCAAATTTGTATTTCCTTCAATTCATCTTAGAAACTAACTTTATAGAAACAACTGTTTCTCCACTGGATCTGCGGGTTCCATCTGGGGCCTTACACATGCTAAGCAAGTGCTCTTCCACTTGAGCTACACCCCCTCTCCCTTTGGTTTTTATTATTTTTGAGACAGAGGCTTGCTACCTTTTTGCCTGGGCAGGCCTGGAACTCACAATCTTCCTGCTTCTGCCTCCTGAGTAACTGAGATTACACGTGTGCACCATCACATCTGGGTCTGAAAAATAACTTTTAAACCCCCCCCCTTTTTTTTTTTTTTTTAGCAAGTTAGCTGTGCTATATACTAAAGCAAAAAGAAGAAAAAAATGCTTATACGCAGAATCTAGACAGGCACCTGTACTACCAGCAATTCAGGAGGCTGAAGTAGGAGAATGATGAGTTCAAGACCAGCCTGGGCTACATAGTGAGTCCCTGTTTCAAATGAAAAAAATACATGTATTAACTTCAGAAAAGCCAAAAAATTAACCATATCGTACCCCCTGCTCAGTTATGAATGAGAGTTCCATTATATTATTACTATAAACCTTGAATAATGGCCTAATTAAAAATTATGAACAGGGGCTGGCAGGAGTGGCTCAAGAGGTGGCCAGCAAGCATGAGGCCCTGAGTTCAAACCCTAGTACTACCAAAAAAAAAAAAAAAAAAAAAAAAACCCTAAAAATGACAACCAAATTATATTGACAAGAAAAAGGTAGAGGAAGAGAGTAGGGGAGGTTGGTAGTAATACAAGAGACCTAGCGCCTCAATGACCATGATATAGAAGTCAAAAGATAAACTTAGAAATCAAAAAATACCAACACGGCTGGGTGGAGTGGAATGTACCTGTAGTTTCAGCTACTTTGGAGGCTAACTAAGGTGGGAAGATTGCTTGAGAAGAGGCATTGAAGACCAGCCTAGGAAACATAGTGTCAAAACCCTCTCAAAAAAAAAAAAAAAGAAAGAAAGAAATAGCACAAATAAATGTATTATGTGAAAACAGCTATTCTACCACTATGGTGAAATTATGAGAGAAGTATTTTCTATTTAAAACTTCCTTTAATCATATTATATAACACTAAATCAAACTTAAAAAAAAAAAAGAAACAGACTGATAAACACCAAAAAAAACAGATTAATCATTGAAAGTGCTCTTCTGGGGAACAAAAATGGAGGGAGAAAGGGGAAGGAAGTAATACTAAATTCTACTAAACTTTTTTTTGAGGTACTGGGGTTTGAACTCAGGGCCCACACCTTGAGCCATTCTACCAGGCCTTTTTTGTAATGGGTTTTTTCAAGATAGGGTCTTGCAAACTATTTTGCCCAGACTGGCTCTGAACTGCAATCGTGATCTGTGCCTCCTGAGTAGCCCAGCCATTTTTTGTGATGGGTTTTTTCAAGATAGGGTCTCAGGAACTATTTGCCCTGGCTAGCTTTGAGCCTCGATCCTCCTGCTCTCTGCCTCCTGAGTAGCTAGGATTACAGGTGCCCAGCTGAACTATTTGTTTAAACCATAAACGTGCAACTTCAAGAAAAATTAAATTTACAAAATGCATGTACTAACAGATAATTAAGTATTCTTCAAGAAGACAATGAATGAAGTAACTTAATACAGGAAAATGTTGAAAAATTACAGTGCAAGTTCTATTTCCACATAGGGGCAGAGCCTACCAGAGAGGGGTCTACTAGTACTAGGAAGGTTAAACAATCATCCACAGAGCTAAGCCAAACCAAAATCAAACCTAGTAAACTATCCCTTCTCCTTTGCTGTATTTTCAGTGTTTTTGGGGTTTTTTTTAATGGCACTGGGGTTTGAGCTAAGGGCTTCATGCTTGGTAGACTGTATCCAAGTCTCCAGCCCCATTTCAGTGCTTCTTAGAAAGAAAGCAGTACATCAGACTCCTCTGTAGAACTTTTTGAGGCTATATAGTTCTCTCCTCCCCTTCTAAGACTCTGCTATTCCTCAATCAGAATGGCAAGAAGGATGTGGGTAGATATAGTCTGACAAAGCCCCAGAGATGATCTTGTTAGAGCCACTGCTTTTAAAGAGTTTCTTAAAGTCAAGCACTAGTGGCTTAAAACTGTAATCCTAGCCATTCAGGAGGCAGAGATGAGGAGGATCGTGGTTCAAAGCCAACCAGGGCAAACAGTTCATGAGACTCTATCTTGGAAGAAAAAAAAAAAAAAAACCCATCATCACAAAAAAAAAAAAACAAAAAAACAGGGCTGGTGGAGTGGTGAAGTGGTAGAGCGCCTGCCTGGTAAGTATGAAACCCTGAGTTCAAACTCCAGTACCACCACCACCAAAAATAAATAAAGAAAAAAGTTTCTTAAGGCCCTGTCTTTGGAAAATCTCTCCATGTAACAGGGTCCTCTTGGTCCATCGAAATGGGACTATTAGAAGAGTGACAAAATCCAAGCAGGTAAAGAGAAGTATGTACACATTAAGTCATGAGAAAAAATGCCCAAATAAACAGTCCCAGTACCTGTTAGCGCACCCAAACACTTGCTTTTACCTGCTTCCCTAGTTTGCAAGACTGCACAGTGTAGTATTTCAGACAAGCAAAGGAAGAACTTCAGAATTCGTTTATATCAAAGTTGACTAATTTATGTGATGAAAGGCAAGGCCCTGTTTGGAACCAGAAAATAAACCACTAAATGGGGAAAAGAAATCCACACTGACAAATATACATAAGCCCTGCATAACTATCAAAGGCCTCACTTTCTCAGCTGTATGATGCAGCAGGAGTGTTCAGATTTTATTTTGTTTTCATCTACCAGGCAGGAGCAAATTATGGAGGGCTTACCCAAGGACTGTCAGAGCAGAGAGGTTCAGAACCTAGCTGTGAAAAGGTAGCTGTTCTTACTACTCACAGTGTACCCACAGGGCAGAAAACATGACCGGGGCACAAAACACGAGTCATAGTTGATGCTGAACCACTTTGGCTTTGAGTTCACAGGATGCAATGCTGCCCAGGGTCTACAGTGAGCGAGCAATGAAGTTCCACCTGGAAAGATCCATGAACGTACCTAGTGTAAGGGTACCTGCCCAAAGCTCTCTGAGTGAGAACAAAAGAGCTATCATGATTTGCACAGAAAAAGAGTAATTGTTTCCTATTCCTGGAGAGAAAAGGGAGGAGGCAACAATACTACCCTGACTTAGGCTAGTGCAACCAGAAACTGCTGAAAATGGAAAAAAGGCATATGTCATCTCACCCTCGTTCCCAACAGTAGGGCACTGCTGCTCAAAGTATGATGTGCTGGTTTACAGGCACAGCATCTCAGGTCCCACCCCAGACTTGCTGATTCAGACTCTGCAAGGGACTCACATTCAAGTGCGATCAGAAGTGCGGCACAAAGTCTTAACTACGTTCTCACACAGCTCTGCGACTCACGTACTGTTTCGATCTCCACTTGACAGGGGAGAAAAAGTCAAGTTGCCCAAGGTCACAGAACTCCGGAGTGGCGAGGATGGCCGCAGTTCTCCCTAGAGCCCGGCCTTGGAGAGGCGTCCGCCACGCCGGCCTGAGCAAGCTGAACAGGGCCTTGGCGCACGCAGGGCCTGGGGGGACCGGTAAGGCTGCAGGCACCGTACAAAGGGCAGGTCGGCCGGGAGTGGCCGTGACTCCTCCCTGGCCGCTGCCACTCACCTGAGCATTGCCAAGGCGACCGCCGCAACACCAGACCCGGTTGCGCAGGCTGCGGCGACACGCTCACTCCTTCAGCTACAACGGGTGCCGCGGGACCACTTCCGGCCCGCTACTTCCGTCTGCTGCGCGAGTGACGGGTACCGCGGAGGCTCAAAATATCCACCGGCGTCTTCCAAGGACATTCGCTTCCGGAAAGACATTGACAAGGAGACTGGGGAAGTCTAGGAGCTGCAATGGGAAAGTCCATCCTGAATGGACGGAGCGCTCTGGAAGTAATTGAGCAGCATGCAGATTCGAATCCCAGGACCGCCAACAGGATTTTATGACTTTGGGGAAGTCACGTAAATTCTCCAAGCTTAGTTTCTCATCTGTACAATGAGGGTAATAGTTCATTTATAATAAGGAAACATCTGTAAAGTGCTCTCAGAAGTTAAGAGATGGATAGATGAGCCTGTTCGGAGAAATGGATGTGAGGAGCTGGAGGAATCCAGTTTTGGCAGACGAGCCAGGGTGATCTTCCACCTCTTTTAGTAGGGGGGTTGGCACTGGGTGGATTTGGGCACGAGAGACTACTGAGTCTGTATTTGTCTGGAGGGCCTGGCCCCAGAATGGCATTCCTGAGGGCATTCAGGATCTTCACACCTTGCGAGTCCCATCCATTCTAAGGACTGTGAATCATGTGCACCATCTTGTTGGACAGACAAAAGCAATGTAGAAAGGACATGACCTCCTCCTTGGCAAGAAGGGGCAAGCCCAACATCGCAACTGCTGAGTTCTGTGCAGAGCACTTTGACTGGGGACTAAACGTTTGGTACCCCAGACCCTTGATGCCACTATTTGAAGTTTCTCTTAACAGGCCAGAACAGAGAAATCTGTTAGTTGCTGATTACAAATCTGTCTCTGCCAACAGAAGCCAGAGCAGCAGAAAGCCTATCCCTATAATTGCTCCTAGGCAATCCTGTTCCTGTTTGCCAAATACTCAACTTCCCATCCTCTCTTGAAGTCAGTTCTGACCAAGTAAGATTTAAAGGGAAGGATGTTGGCAGGTCCTGGAAGAGCTTTCGCTTGCAGGATAAAGTGGTGCAGACCAATCCCATCATAGAGCTGTGGCAGCCACCTTGTGGCAAGGAGGAAGCAACAAGCTAGGATGGAAGAGGGGAAGATGAAACATCTAGGTCCATGATGAACCAACACCTGTGACACCCACTTCCAGACTTCATGTCAGTTGAGAAAAAATAAACCGCCCTTTAAGGTCCTGTAAATCAGGTTGTATTACACCAAAATGCAATCTTTTTTTTTTCATTTTTCTTTTATTATTCATATGTGCATACAAGGCTTGGTTCATTTCTCCCCCCTGCCCCCACCCCCTCCCTTACCACCCACTCTGCCCCCTCCCCCCACCAATACCCAGCAGAAACTATTTTGCCCTTATTTCTAATTTTGTTGTAGAGAGAGTATAAGCAATAATAGGAAGGAACAAGGGTTTTTGCTGGTTGAGATAAGGATAGCTATACAGGGCATTGACTCACATTGATTTCCTGTGCGTGGGTGTTACCTTCTAGGTTAATTCTTTTTGATCTAACCTTTTCTCTAGTACCTGTTCCCCTTTTCCTATTGGCCTCAGTTGCTTTAAGGTATCTGCTTTAGTTTCTCTGCGTTAAGGGCAACAAATGCTAGCTAGTTTTTTAGGTGTCTTACCTATCCTCACCCCTCCCTTGTGTGCTCTTGCTTTTATCATGTGCTCATAGTCCAATCCCCTTGTTGTGTTTGCCCTTGATCTAATGTCCACATATGAGGGAGAACATACGATTTTTGGTCTTTTGTGCCAGGCTAACCTCACTCAGAATGATGTTCTCCAATTCCATCCACAAAATGCAATCTTGATTGTGGGACTTTGCGAAGAGAACAGAATGAATTATCATAAAGGACAGCTTACTGATGTGCATCACACTTGTGTCTCTTTTGTCACTAATTGCAAACTCCATTCTGTTTCTGTGTCTTTGTCCTCAAGAAACTGCCAATCACTGTAAGTTGGCTTAAGTGACTTCAGACTGCATGTAGCTGTCCTGCATCACCTGCCTTCTGGCCAGGTAGATTCTGTCCAGATTCTGAGCTGGAGCCAGCTTAAAACCTTTTTAATGGGTTGGGGAGCTATAGCTACAGCTTAGTGGTTTATGTTTCCCTAGCATGCATGAGGCCCTGGGTTCAATCCCCAGTCCAAAAAAAAAAAAAAAGCAAAACCCTTTCAACAAAAGTCTGAGCTGAAGAGAATGCCTCATTGGGCAGAAACATGGGACCATGCCTTCCCCCAAGCAATGTGGAGGAGCTTGGGCATCAGGCCAACCTCCTGGCCCTGCCCAGTGAGCACCTCTGGTCTCATACCTCCTTTGGGAATTGTTTACTCCAGCTTTGCCCTCCTCCACCCCCAGACCTCACCTCCCACACCCGCAAAGACACAAGCAGACCACAGAATGCCATTCAAGAGGCTTTCTCCATTTTATTTCTTTGGGAAAGGAAAACAAAAAGTCTTTCCATCACATATGGTAGAGATATATATTTTATATATATTTATATATAATTTATTTTGTAGTTGGACATCCCAAAGCTGAGTCTGTTCATATTTTTTCCCATTTTTTTTTCCTACTAATGCCTTCTCTTCTCCCAGCCCCGTGGCTCAGCCCAGGGTCTGGGGCAGGTGCAATGAGGGAAGAGTGAATGGGCAGTGGTTGCCAGGGTGGCCTCCCACCCAGCTCAGAAACCTGGTGAGGACCACCCAAAAGGGGCTGTGCAGGGGACTGGAGGCCACGAAGAGGAGCCCTCCTGTTTTTGTGGGGGGTGCACAGCTTGTTAAACAGTCACCAGTCATGGGAGGAGGCTGGTCAGGGGCTAAGGGACTTGCTCACAGTAGATGCCAGCTCTCTCTACTTTGCCCCCCAAAGTCAATCTTGGGGGTAGAAGAGAGAGTGAAAAAGAGAAATACAAGGACTAAGGGCCAAGCCTCCTCTGATTTTTATTGCTGGTGAATTAGAAATTTGCTTTCTTAGAAGGAAAATTAGAATTTCCCTTCCTGTCTTGGGGAGATAGACTCTGAGAAGGATCCCAGAGAAGAAAGTAACATTGGCTGTCCCAACCCCTACTGAAGGCCATCCCAGGTCTCCCTGGGCAAATACTGAGCCAACTCAGAGCTTGGCAAGGAACCAAGGGATCAGTGTTCCTCTCAGGTCAGCCTTGTTCTCCAAGGGCAATCACATCCAACCCTCCCCAGCCCCCGAAACAAGGGCCTTGGGCTCAGATTTGGGTCAGTGGAGCTGGGAAGTGGGCAGTGCACCAAAGGTCAAGCAGAATTTTCTACTGAAAGAAAAGGTGTGACTTTGAGGAAAAGGTAGCATGGGAAGATGATGTTCTGAGCATGAAAGCAGGAGGCTGGGGGAAGCGAGTGAGGGAAGACACAGGAAGACATCACAGACACTCATTTAACCTCAGAAACTGGGCAAAGGGAGTGCCTGAGAGGCAAGTAGCACTTAAGCTGTAGTTAGAGCTGGACAGTGGTCCTGGATGTGGGGTCAGCCAAGCAGCAGGGGCTGTTGCCCTGTGGGATTCTGACCAGAAGGGTGAGGGTAGAGCCAAGAAGCCTCCAGGTGATCCAACAGTGGGAGGGCAGACCTGTCCTGGGTACCAAGCTTCCAGTCCCAACCCTCCCCTCCAAAACACACAGAGAACACACGCTCAGGACCAGGCCAGGCTCTGAGGCCTGAGCCCAAGAAACCTTGGGGGGGAGGGGCTGGGCAGGTAGCCCTCTCAACCACAGGCAGGCCATCTGCTCCCATTTGTCCTGCCAATCTGCCTGGGAAGGGAGAACACCACATGTAGGAGAGAGACTAGGAGCCCAGGATCTGTCAGCCTCAGCAGACCCATGCAGGCCCTCTCAGGCTGCACGGCCTAGGAGGTGAGTACAAAGAGCATCACTGGATGCAAGGTGGCCAACAGCAGCAGCCCAGACCCTGAGGGGGGCTAGGGCATCTCCTGGCACTGCAGGCCTGCTGCCTCCATCTCCAACAAGGGGCTTCCTAGAAAGGGAGCACCACTCCCTGCTCCTGGGCCCTCAAACCCACGCACTCTGCTCTCTCCCATGCCTCCTTGGGAGGAGGGTCCAAACGGCTGCCACAAGGGCAGTGCTGGAGCTGGGGGGGGGGGCGGTGAGTAGGGAGGAGCCTGGTCACAGCTGCTTTGAGAACCTCTTTGGTCTGGGGATATGGGACACATGGGGAAGTGAATGGAGGGAAGGGGATACTGGGGACTCCAGCCTTCAGACAGGGCACTTGTCAGAAGGCTGTGTGCCCAGTTGGCAGATCAGATTTCTGTGGATTCAATGCGCTCAAGGCGGGAGGGGGTCCAGGCCTTCTTCTCCTCGCCGTGCTGTGGGGTAGGTGTGCTCGCACCCCCTGCAGCCCCACGCTCCCGCAGCCGCCTCTCCAGCTGTTGGTTACGCTGATACATCTCCACGTAACTCAGCTGCAGCTGCTTCTGGTACTCGATCACCTTCTCTTTCTCTTCCAGCCACACACGGCGCTCCTCGGCGAAGCTGGCACCCTGGCGCTCCCGGGCTCGCCGCTCAGCTGCCAGCTCGGCCTGCAGCCGCCCCACCTCCCGTCTCAAGGCCCGTGTCCCATTCTCTCCCCCAGCATCCGCCTCCCCGTCCACGGAAACTAAAGAGGCAGCAGCTGCCACTCCGGCCTGACGGCGCATTTTGGCTTCATCGCTCTCACAGGTGGCCAGAGCCTCCTGCGGCTCGGCCAGGTCCACAGGGGTCAGCGCCGGCTTGAGGCAAGCACTGGGCAGCTCGCTCTCACCCAGCTCCAGGCTGGCCTGTTTGCTGCCAAAGGAGTCCCTCAGGCTGAGTAGCTGCTCCTCCTTCTCCCGAAGCGAGGCCCGGCCCTCCCGCAGCTGTGAGCGCAGCCCCACGATCTCACTCAGCTTCTGAGACACATCCGCCTGAGAGTCCTTCAGCTGCTGCTTCAGGAGAGAAATCTCACCGGCCTTCTGGCACACCTGGGTAGGGACAGGTGGGAGGAGAAACCAGGGTAAAGGTCACCCCAATCCAGATCTAGCACCAGAGACTCCAAGCTTCCCCAGGGCTCAGGCTCAGCCTCACATCAGACTGGACAGGGATGACCCACGAGGCACCCTGCCAGACTCAGGACAGACTTGGCTTGTTTCACACAGCCCAGGGACAGCCTCAGTTTTCAGAGGCGCTCTGAATTGATTTGGTCTCTTACTTCTTCCACTCCCCCTTGTAATAATGGTGGGCCGCAGCTCTGGGGCTCTATAGAGGGGCAAAGGAAGGGAAGACAGAAGGGAAAGGCCCAAGCCTCCAGCCCGCACCTCCCACTTAGTTTCCTCCATCCGGGGCAGGAAGTCGGCCTGCTCCTTCTGGCAGGCGGCCACCTTGTCCTCTAGCTCTTCCCGCTGCCGCATCAGCCGGGCTGCCTCCTCCTGCAACTGCTTCTTGTCCTGCTGCAGCCGCAGCACCTGCAACTGTAGGCCCTGTTGGGCACGCTGGGCACGACGGGCCACCTGCTGCAGCTTTCCACTGCAGCCCTGCCGCAGCTCGGCCAGCTCACGTTCCCACGCCTTCTGCCGCTCCTCCAGCACCTGGGCCACAGCCGCCTCGCTCTGCTCCAGGCTGCGCCGCAGAGCTGCCACCTCCTGCTCCTTCTCCCACAGTCGTTCCTCTAGCTCCTGGATCAGTGCACTGGGCGAGGGTGGTGAGCAGGCTGCAAATGTCAGGCCTCCACCTCCACCCTCCCCAGATCCCAGATGGCCTGACCGCCCCATGGATGAAGATGACCCACTCTTGCTGGAGGCCCGCCCACTGTCAGAGGTCCCCAGGTCCTGGTAGCCTGATCCCCCACCGCTGCTGCCACTACTATAGCTGGCAGTGCCTATGCGGTTGATGTGGCTGGTGGAAGCACTAAGGGGTGCCAAGTGCTGGCTGTAGCTGGAACTATAGGTGGGCAGGCTTGTGAGTGAGTTCCGGCCTGAGTCAGAGAGGCCACCCCCACTCCCGCCTGCTGGGGTCATGGTCCGAGACTTATCCAGTCCGCCCTTGAGGCCACCAGGGCCCTGTCGTCCCTCAGGGGTCCCATTGGTCTGCGGGGGACACAAGTTCTGCATGGAATGGAAATTCTTGGGTACAACAGGCTTGAAGGCTGACGGCCGAACTAGTGGCTCTGAGCACTGCATAAAATCAAAGAAGGGGGAGTGTGCATCAGAATGAGGCCTTAGCCTTGGCCCCAGCCTCTTCCCTGTGGCCAAGACTTGTTCAAGCACCATCTGCTACCCCTATTGGGTCTCCACCATGAGGCTCCTCATGTGGTCTCTCCCCCAAGCCAGGGCTCTCTGTCCTGTATCCACCAGCAAGAGTTAGCCCCAGGGACCCATCCTGGTTCCTCTAAACCCACCTCCAAGAAAGTCCACCTCACCCTCCTCTCTGGGCTACTTCCCATACTAGAACAAAGCTGTAAGGCCCTCAGGTCTCAGGAACTGACCTGGTCTAGCTTGCCAGAGGTGGCCAGGAGCTTGGGTGGATGGTTGGGCTCACGATACTGTGGTGGAGCTTTGTCACTGCCACCACTGCTGCTGCTGCCACCACTGCTTCCTACCACGTTGCCGCAGACATCTGTGTGGTCACTGGCCCGCAGCTCGCCATTGAGGTAGAGGGAGTTGGCGAGCACCTTGTCTTCTGAGGGGTAACGGCTCGGCCTCTCTCTACCGGCCCCACCACCACTACCTCTGGGGCCAGGGAAACTACCCTGGCTGCCCCCACTCCCTGTGCGGGTGCCCACACTCTTCATGGGGAACTCCTGAGCATGGGCCACCCCACTGCCCACACTTCCCATGGCCAGGCGAGGGTCTGGTGGTCCGAGCTCAGAGGGCCGTGGGGCAAAGGCCAGGAGGGGATCCCGCCCAGGATCAGCACGCACAGGTAGTGTCTCCAGTTTTGCCATGACTAAGCCAGGAGGGCACTGTGGGCATAGGTGGGAAGGCAGAGAGGTCAGTCCCCACTCCCAATCCCAACCCCACCCATTCAGCCCCGGCCCCATCCTGTCCTTCAGTGTCCCCTTCCCTACAGGGGGTACAAGAGTTCCCAGACACTCAAGGTAAAGGAAGGGGCTAGGTAAGAGTGATAGCTTGAAAATGGGGACTGCCTGTTGTCCCAGGGCACTGTGCACATACCCTCCCAGCGGGGCTCAGCTCCACACTCCACTGCTCAATCCCACCCATCCATCAGCCTCTCAGTGACCCTCTCAACTCTTGTTGCTACTCTCAGAATTTATGGATTTTGCCCCCTGGGTCGGCACACCCCTATATCCCAACCTCATGGACTGGGGAGATGGGGTTGGAAGGGGAGAGCAGTACAGGGAACCTCAGAAGTTAAGGGAGAGACGTAACAAGCCTATCCAAAAATTGAAGGTGGGGGTCCTTCCCAGCTCCCTAACCTATGGTGTTGCAGTCAAGGGCAGAAGTGGAAGCTCACTGCCGGCGCAGGCTTCTCTCCTTGCCTTTCCAAGGGGGTGGGGAGCCGATGGGTCCTCAAGCCTGGGACCCTCCGAAGCCCGGTCTGCAGGGGCCATGTGGCTCACTCTCGCAGTCGGGACTCGGCCCGAGCCAGCTGCGTGACTTTGGATGGGCTGACCGAGCCATCCTGGACTGCAGTTTTCTCCTCTGCGAAATGGGAGGAATGAAGAACCTACCTCGCTGAGCTGCCGCGCGCCCAGCGCCGGGAGGCGGCGAGCGAGAGAGGGAACCCGGGTCTCTGGGTGGGGTGGGCGGAGCTGCCGCTGCAGCGCGCGCCAGGGTCGCGGGTGGGCGCAACTATGGGCGTGCGAGCGGACAGACTGACCCGAGCTGCGGCTGCAGTGGATGGCAAGGGAGCTCTCCCGGAGGTCTTCCCAACGCCACCGCACAGGGGTCTTAGCCCAAGGCGGGGGTCCCCCTCCCAGAGGTCAGTACTCCGCAAAGGTCCCTTGGCTGGCGGAGGCCAGGGCAGCGACGCAGCGCCGCGAGCAGCTGGAGCCTCCCTGGGGGCCTGCGTTTCCCACAGGTGGGCGGGGGAGAGGCGGGCCTTCGCAGCCACCCGCGGCCCTGAAGCTTCCGCGCCCGCCAAACCATACTAAGAATGCACTGCCACCAAGAAGACTTCCTGGATTACCCTCTTTACCAACCCCCCCCCCGCCCCCGTTCCCTGTGGACCTTGACCCTGTCAGTCAGTTCACCGTAAAGTCCTCAGAACCAGTTGTGTGGATTTGCGCCCCCTCCCACAAGTCTGGCCTACAGAAGGGGAGCCCGGCCTCGGGTTACCTGTGCTCAGGGAGGCCCCGCTTTCTGGTTCTTTTGTCTCAAATCCGCACCTGGGAACACCTTTCCAGAAATCTGCATAATCCAGCTGGACAGGGAACCTGGCAGTGCAGGCTGCTGGCTAGATGCTCAAATACGTGTGCCAAAGGTGAGAGGGGGGCACCTTTCAAGCCTTTAAACTAATCCCGCTAGAAACCAGGAAGGGAGCCCTATAAAGGTGAAGGGACCCACATGGTGGCATCCCCTCAAGTGCTCTGCAGACTATCCCAGTGTTTTCTCATGGGGAGGTGGGTGGGTTGTTTTTTTGTTTTTGGCAGTACAGGGGTTTGAACTCAGGACTTCCTGTTTGCTAGGTAAGCACTCCAGCACTTGAGCCACGACCCCAGCCCTTTCAGCTTTAGTTATTTTTCAGATAGGGTCTTGTGATTTTCACAGGTTGGCCTGAACCATGATCCTCCTATTTATGCTGCCTGCGTTGCTGGGATGCCAGGCGCCAGGTGCATCTGCCACCATGCCCAATTTCCCCCCTCCCCCAAACAGTGATCCTCCTGATCTCTACCTCCTGAGTAGTTAGTATTACAGGCATGCACCACTGGGCCTGACCCACATGCCCAGTTCTTATACTGTGTCCTTCTTATCAGGCTCCAGATCAAGGGAGCCCAACAACACCCTTGCCCTTCAGGGTCTTCTGACCACACCATGAATTATAGCCTTAAGCGGTGAGAAAGTTCACTAACAAGTTGGTCCACTGCCTTTGTAGAATTCCATTCTCTCAGTGTCTGTCCTCACAGGTGTGGTGAACAGCACATTACTACCTTCCTCCCTTTGGCCAGTCTGTCCCTACACATGGGCTGGGACATGAGAGGCACCTGGGGCACAGTGAAATGCAGAATAGGCAGGTGCATCACTCTGCCCATTTTTGTGCTCTAGGCCTCTCTTGCTTCACCCTAGTCCCTGCTGTGCCTCTACTTGCCAGCATACTCCAGCCTACTATCCCTTGACCTTGAAAAGCCTCTCCTATCCTTAACGAGATCCTCTTCTCTCCCCATCCTTGGGTGCCACATTGGGAATGTCTGGGACCAGAAGGATGGAGGCTGAATGACCTGAGGGAAGGCCTGGGAAGGATTTGTGAGGAAGAACTGGCAAAACCTCATACAGTTAGGGTTCAAGTGGAGGAGACATAGGAGGAATCTAGCTCAGGCACCAAGGTGGGGTGACATCCTTAACATGAGAGGGGGTTGCTTAACATGACAGGAGGTTGCTTGGGAGAAACAGTTGCTTGGAGAAGGCCAAAGATACCTCCACCAAGACTGGGATTATCAGCATCCAAGGGTGGTGTGGGTGGGATGGTGTGGCCTGGCATTGAGCTAGGGTGGCAGAGGCTCAGAAGTCTGAGAGGCAGTATAGGAGCAGGAAGAAGGCCAGGAGAAGCTGGCCAAAATTGGTGGCTTTAAGAATGTGGGGCAAGGCTAATTTGGGGGTCTCAGCTAATCAGGAAGATCATGTGAGCTTAAGAGTTCTATGCCACTCTGGCAACACAGACTCCATCAAAAAAAAAAAAAGTGGGGGCAACTCCCAGTTTTAAAAAGAAAGGACGCTGAAGAATGTGCCCTGGATTTGACAGCTGAAGACATCATTGGTGACTATGTCAGAATGGCTTCAGAAAAGTGTGCAAAGTAAGAGCAGCCCACAGGGGTGGAAGGGTTCAGAGAGAGAGGAGACATCAGAGTTCCCTGCTAAAAGAGGCTAAAGAAGGCTGCCACTTACAGAGGTTTGGGATCCAAAAGCTTTTTTAATTTTAAAATTAAACATGGCAGAAATTCCAGTGTGCTGACATGCTGAAGTCAGGCACCACTAGTAAAATTAAAGATCTAGGCAGGGAGCTAGCACGGGGGCTGCACCAGAGGCCTAGGTGTGGGCAGAAATAAAACTCAGAAGTGATCATGTTTATTGTGAGTGATAGGGGATAATGATTGGGAAGGTGCTTTGTAAACTGTAAGATGCAGCACAAACATATAGCACTGCCTTCTCTGCGATCCAGGAAAGGAGAATGAGACCATAGGTTGTGGCTGGTCATTGCTACTCTGTTCCACTATTTCCTTACAGTATTTGAGGTCCCCCACAAGGTTTAGATGCCCAGAGTCAATGGAAATGAGTCCCAGGACATTGTGGGGAATCCTTGATAGTCCACCCACAGAAGCTGTCCTTAGAGCCTTACTCCCCCGTCATAGCAACCCCCTGTAATGGTTCCCTGCCCTTTGCCTCTCCCAAGCTTGGGCTACTGCAGCTTTTCCTCAAAACCCTAGCAGAATGCTGAAGGACAAGGAGGGGGATACATCTCCCTGGTAAGTGAGCAGAGAGAAAGGGTTGAGCTTCCTCTGAGGGTCAGGGTACTGAACTGGCCCAGGTAACTAAATGCGGTCTGCAAGGGCAGCCTAAGGCATCACCCTAAGATGACAGCCTGTTGCCTGACTCTGCCTGCATCTGTGTCCCATCCATCCTCAGTGCCTGTGACATTATACACAGTATTAGCAGTCACAAAGGGGTCAAATGGACTCTACCTGGGGATTACACATGCAGGTCCCTCCAAACCACTGACCACTCAGCCCCTTCCCACCTGTCTCTCCCAAAGCTAGGAACATTTAGGGTCTCAGAGGTGCTGAGCCCAACCCATTCCACCTGCTGAAAATCTCAGCAGGCCCCCTGCCAGCACCCTTGCTGGGTCTCCTCACTGGCCTTTGTTCTGCACTCCCCCCAACCCCCAGCTGCTACAGGGGACTCTTCCTAAAGGGCAAAGCCAATTTTGTTCCTGCTCTGGCCAAATCCTTCCACCAGCAGGGTTAAGTGAAGGAGATGGAGTTCTGGCAGCATCAGCTCCAAGTGTAAATCACAGCTCAATTGATTAGGGGTAGAACCTCATGCAGGTTATTTCACCCCAGATTCTCACACCTACCTTGCAGGAATTTTAAGTAAATGCATTATGGGGTAAAATGTCTGGTGTTTCTCTTGGCCTCCAGAACCAAGAAGAGCTTGCAGCAGGGTCCCCAAGGCCTCTCCTGATACCCATCCTATCCCTGACTGGAGCTCCTCTCCATTCCACACACAACCTCTTCTCAGCTCTCTGTCCATCCTATATCCTTCTGGAACCAATCTGAACGCTGCCTCTCAGGTCAGCATCCCTGATACCCCAGGGGTCTTGGAGCTCTTGGCTCAGGTCACCCCAGGAGGATTTCACTCAGAGACCTCCCCAGGGCTTGGCCTGTGGATGCCCCAGGGCAGATTGTGTCCTAGGGGTCTCTGTACCCCAACATCAAGAAAATGCAGGGCAAATGCATGTAGGAATGTTAGTTATGAGCTATGCAAATAGGCAGTGAATCCAGGCAGAGAAACTGGGAAGGGCTTTCAGGTAGGACAGAAAAAGGAAAAGGATTCAGGGGCACTGTAGGGCTTTTGGGGTGCAGAGATCTCTAGAACTTCTTGGTTGGGATGTATGAGGGGAGATCCATCTTCCCTTGGAGGCGTAGGTACCTGCAGGGGAAGGAGCCCATCCCCTAGATCCTGGCTCTAATGAAGCCGGTGTTTCAGGACTGAGGGGGCCGACAGCGCACCCCACACACACATACCCCTGCGCGCACACACACACACACACACACACACGCGCGCGCGCGCGCATACATGAGCCTCCGCGCGGGGGGGGGGGTCGCTATTCACCAGCAGCCCACAACGCTCAGAGCCAATACATAGGGACCCCGGCCACAAGCCATCGGCAGAGGTGCCAGGGGGTCTCTGCGGTGGGGTGAATCCCGCCTGCATCTCTTTGGACTCCCCACCAACGCGCGTGGCCCCGGGGGGCGGGGCGCGGAGGGAAGAGGTGACATAATCCGGGCCGCACCCCCTCCGGCCGCCACCTCCCCCCTAGGCCGAGCGAAGCATCCATGACATCATCGGCCTCATCTCTCCCCTCCCCCCGGGACCCTAGCAGCGGGACGCGCCCCCTCCCCAGCTTCGGGTCTGACCAGACGCGCCAAGCAGTACTGGGGACACCGCGGCGGGTCAGAGTCGGTAGGGGCACCGCGGTGGGCCTGCCTCACTTACTCGCTGTCTTGGGGTCCGGCGTAGGGTCTCCGACGCGGGAGCCACCGGCCCGGCTCGCTGGCGCAGCCCTAAGCCCGCCCGGCAGGGCGCGCGGCGCGGGCCCGGCTCCGCTCCGCGCCCCTCCCGCTTCCCTCCCGGGCCCCGCCCACCAGCGGCTGCGGCAAACGCGGATCCACCCCCCAGCCACGCCTCCCGGACCCGCCAATCCCCAGGCTGGGGCGGGGCGCGGCACCTTAACCCTGTAGTCTCTGTGAGCGTGCCGGCACTTGGGACCCTTCGGTCTCGCTGGCTCGGGTGCGGCAAAATTCTGTGGGAGTCCCTCCTCTAGTCGCCGATTACCCTCCCTCCCAAATCCTTGGGCTCAGTCCTCAAGTCTCTCCTTTAAAACAAATTCAGCACAACCGCGGCCTCTCTGAATCCTACATCTCTGGCACAGGGGATGAGCCCCTCTGACTTGGGGAAGGATCTTGCGATTCCCGAACCCTGAGCCTCCTTCCTGTCCCGCACCTGCTCTTCGGGAAGCACCCTCCCAACGGACGCCTCGAGACCCTGCAAATAGGCCAGGTACGAGCGGAATGACTAGCACAGTTGGATCCGACCTCGACCAGGCAAGACCCACCAGGACGCCAGGACTGCTGGCACGCTTGTGAGAAGTGTCGAGGGCCAGAAACGCCATCCGGCAGCGAATCGAGCCCATTTGAAACTTGCTGATTGCTCCCAAAGGCTCACCGTCCCGTGCAGGGTTTGAGCACTTTCACCTTGTGCCTGGTGCTTCCAGGCCGCAACCCTCACGCTGCATCCTGAATTGAGAGGCGGGGGGGGGGGGAACTTCATCCTCCACCCAGAAGCACCAGCTAGGTGCGTTCACTGCGGGGAGTTGCCGGGCGGCCCGGGAAGACTGCCCAAAGAAGGTAGTCAGCCTTGAACTATGGCCTTAGCCTCGATTTGGGTGGGGAAGCAAGCTAGGCAGAAGGTTCAGCATTACTAAAAGCCGGGAGGCACAAGGGTCTTGTCTTGAAAACTGCAACGCCTCCACTCTGGCTGAGACCTAACGCATTAAACATCTCTGCTATGAGAGCTGATGTGTTTACCCCTCTCTTCCTACTTCACACTTTTGTCTCGCTGTTTTCTACATTTGCTTTTATATTTTATAGTGATTTTTAAAACAGAAAGCCTGTTTTTTCGTCTTAATGGTTGCCTTTAAACTTATTAAAAAACCGCTTAACAAATTATTAGCCAATGAGAAATCATTTTATATTGTCTTATATGAGAAACTTTTGATTGACACAATTGTAAGGATCTTTTGTGGGGTTATGAAAAATTTAATGTGTCTTTTGTCCTCACTTATATCTGTCCACGTTACCCCGGATAGGCCCAGCTTTTGTTTACATTTTTTAAGCTACAAAAACCTTTGGGTAGGGGAAACGTGAGTGTTGCTCAGTGGTAGAGTACACACTTAGCTTACACGAGGTCCTAGGTTCCGTCCTTAGAAATATAAACAAATCCTCTTTCTAAAATCTTTTGCCAACCATATGTTCACTTGGTTTCAGTGTCACTGCCAGTTTTTTGTTTTTGTTTTTTTTTTTGATACTAGGGTTTGAACTCGGGGCCTTAAGCTTGCAGCTTGAGCCACATCCCCAGCAAAGCCAGCTTTTATGCTCTAATTTTCCTGTTTCTTATTTAGACCCATCTCTCTCACACATGACTGGTGACTTCAGAGAGGGCAGTTTTTTTCTAAGCCTTTGTCCTAGATGAAAATGCCTTCCTGACAAATTGAATGTTTATGGAATTCTTGGGTGTCAAACTTCCCCTCAAAATTCTCTTGTCCTAGCCAGGGCACCCAGGGCTCACGCCTGGGTGAGCCTACCTACTCAGGAGGCAGAGATGAGGAGGATTTCAGTTCGAAGTTAGCCTGGGCAAACAGTTTTCGAGACCCTATCTCCAAAAAACCCTCCACCAAAAAGGGCTAGTGGAGTGATTCAAGGTGTAGGTCCTGAGTTGAAACTCCAGTACCACACACACAAAAAAAGATTCTCTTGTCCTTATCTCACTGTCTTCTCACACTGAAAATGGGAGCACATTTGGGTTGGTTTGTTTAAAGTCATTTGCCCTCAGAAGTCAAGCATGTTGCCAGTGTAAATCTCAGTGGGGCCCTTTATTAATTTTCTAGAAACAAATGATGTCTTTTAGCTTAGGAAAAGTCTTCTTCAAGTATGTTCTTGTCCATTTTTGAACAGATTTTGGTTTTTTTCCCTTCCCTAGGACTATCACATTGGATCACCATTGTCAAATCTGTTCTGCTTCTCTGCATCTGGGGAGAGCATCTTTACCATCACAAGTTTAATTTTCTTCACAGAGTCAAGAGTACTGTTTATTTTCACCAATAAGCCATTTGATTCTGCTTGTTTTATTTTCCTTCATTTCAGCCAATATCCACTCTACCTCTGTCTTGATTTCACCTTATTCTCTTTGTTCTGTCCCTATTTCATATAACATGTGGTTTTGCATCTTGAGAAAAAAAACCAAGAAAGTGAAAGATTATCTGCTCTAATGCATATAAAAACTTTGATGCAGTGCACCATTTTTCTGGGAAACAGAATTACAGAAATAAAAGAGATGTTGAAAATATCATCCAAGAAATGTCTAAAAAAAGGCTCTGGGCTCAGATTGTTTAATGGAAGAATTCTCTGAAACTCACTGAACAGATCATCCTAACCCTGTAAGTCTGTACCAAGCCCAAAAAAGACAGAATGCTATTTCATGTTATGAAGCCACAGTTCCCCTTCTACCAATTCCAGGTAACAGCAGCATAGAAAGGAAAACTGCAGACCAACCATACTTAACAGTTTAGGGGGAAAATCTTGAATATAATTCAAGGAAACACAGTATTATTGCAAAGGAAATGAATAAGCTGTGATTTTGTCAAACGAGAAAAAAAATGATTGAAGGAAATCATTTACAGCCGTATATGGTGGTACATACCTGTTGTCCTGCCCACTCAGGAGAATGAAATGAAAGGATTGCCTGAGCCCACAAATTTAAGACCAACCCAGGCAACATAACAAGACCCCCATCTCAAAAAGAAAAGAAATAAAACATCAATACCCAAAAAAAACCCTCCTAATTAACCAGGAATGGGCTGGAGGTGTGGCTCCAGTGGTAGAGTGCCTGCTTGGAAAACACAAAGCCTAAGAGTTCAAAACTCCAGTACCAACAAGAAAAAATTAAAAAAAAAATCTAATTAACCAGGAACAGCTGAAATTAAAATTTATTATTTATCACCCTGACTTTGGCAAAATCATTAAAGCTTTGAATGGTCTAACCAAAAGTTGTTCTCTCCCTTTGGACTTGTGGATAAGGTCCCCTAGCCAAACAATCCTCTTATCAAATGGACCAGGTGCATTTCCAACTTCTCTCTCAAGAACAGGTTTTACTTCCCTGACAGCTCTGGGAATTATTCAAATAGGCCAATCACGTCCCAGCAGGATCTAGGGAGTACCCGGTCCTCTGCTACTACAAAGCCTGCCCCCTACAGCTCCTGGTTGTTTACTCCACTCCCTGGTGCAACTCCCATGCATGGCTTGTGGTGTCCCCTGGACTGTGATTATATGTAACTAATAACTGCTGTCAGTCTCTCCTGTCCAAGTGTCAGGTGTCTTGTTTGGCAACTCCCATAACTTTAGGGTAGAAATCCCTACCTCACCAATTGGATGAGAGTTAATTAAAACAAATTCAAAAGACTGATACCTTATATTGGTGAGGCTGTATGGAAACTGAAACAGGTTTATTTCTGAAGTGCTGGGGATTGAGCCCATGGCCTTGCACATGTTATGAAACCTCCAGCCCCTAGATTGTTTTACAGCTGTGTTTTACCTAGTCTTTAAAGAGATTAATTCTAAATTACAGGAAAAAATGAAAAGCTCCCTTTTATTCATTTTGTTTTTTTGTGTGTTGTATTAAGGATTGAACACAGAGCCTTGTGTATGTTAGCCATTCTACCCCTAAGCTACATCTTCTGTCCTGTCTTACTGTTACATTTTATTAGTATATATTAATTGTACAAAGGGGTTTCATTGTAATTCCATATATGCATATAATGTACTTTAATCATATTCAGCTTTTTTTTTTTTTTTTTTTTTGCAGTACTGGGGTTTGAACTCAGGGCCTACAACCTTGAGTCACTCCATCAGCCCTTTTTTGTTGTGTTGTTTTTTTTGAGATAGGGTCTCTCTACTATTTGCCCAGGCTGGCTTTGAACTCAGATCCTCCTGATCTCTTCCTCCTGAGTAGCTAGGATTACTGGCTCACCCTGTTAATTTCTTATTCCCACCCCCTTTTTAAAAAATAATTTTAATGGGTTTCATTATTCCACTTTCATACATGCACATAACTAATCACCTCCCCCCTCCTTTCACCCTCCTCCTCCTTTTATTTTATCACTAAGTTATCCAGGCTGGCCTCAAACTTGTAATCCTACTGCCTCAACCTCCTGAGTACCTAGGATTATAGACATGTACCACTATGCCTGGACCTTGTTTATTTTACAAAGGTAGAATGATCTTAATGCCCAAATAATGAGAAAATTGTGTGACTGGCAATCATGTGTGTTCTCCATTAGTTTATAGGATCCATGTGGCCAGAATCCCTTTTCAAAATACCATATCACCACTTTTTTTTTTTTTTTTTGCAGTACTGAGGTTTGAGCTCAGGGCCTACACCTAGAGCCACTACACTAGCCCTTTTTTGTATGGGTTTTTTTGAGATAAGGTTTCATGGATCTATTTGCCTAGACTAGCTTCAGATCTCTGCCTCCGGAGTAGCTAGGATTACAGGCAAGAGCCACCAGCGCCTAGTCCATATCCCTATCTTAATTACTCTAGTAAGCATAATAATGGCTCCCAAAAATGTCCAAATCCTAATCCTCAGAATCTGTGAATATGCTGTTATACAGCAAAGGGACATTAAGGTTGAACAGAATTAAGGCTAGGCTGGTGGAGTAGATCAAGTGGTAGAGCATGAGGCCCTGAGTTCAAACCCCAGTACTGCCAAAAAAAGGAAAAGAGAAAGGTAGAAGAGAGGGAAAGTAGATGTGACTACAGAAAAGTCAGAGAGATATAACATAACTGGTTTT